ACCAGGAAAAAACAACTACACTCCCCCAAACTGACATGGGACCAAAACAAGTTTTCAGTTTACGCTCCCTCAAACCATGAAAGAGTGAAAACCACTGGCATCGCCAAGCTAGCAATTGAGTAACGTGTTCTGCCATGAAAATTGGGGATAGCATTCTTGACAACCACCGAGCAAATCTACACTCAAAACAAACAAGAACTCACACACACACACACACACACACACACGCCCTCATGGACGACCCTTCATGGACCCCGGTGAAAACGAAGCCGAAGCGCCAGCTGCCCCGCTGCACGTCCACCGGCGGCTTTGCCATCGCCTGGAAAACCAGACGCCAAGCCGTGGCCTCTGATTGGTTGCTTGCCATAGGTGTCCTTTTAGGTTGGAAATAGATGGGTTTCCCTGGTAGATGAGAAAAAAACACCAGGTACACCAGGAATCGCCATCTATTCTTCCAGCAAAAAACAACCAAAAAGGACACCTATGTTGCTTGTTGCTTCTCTGAGGACTTTGTATCAAAGGGTCTGGCCCATTTAGCGCCCTGGTTCTCCAAAACACAACTTCAAAGGTTCACCTTTTGGGGCCATGACGAAAAATGACAAAAAAGGTCAATTGGTCGGTTTTGAACCACTGAGAAAACACCTTTCACAAGCGTAGAACACAAGGAACAAAGTAAAACCCAATAATGAGAACCCGGATTCAAACAACCGCGGGAAGGTCCCCTTGAGGTGGAAATGCTTCGCATTGTGGGTGACACCCCCTTTGTGAGCAGGCTGGGTTTGATCCGGGGTTCTCTACACCCCTTCTGGCCTCGTCACTCTTGAAGTTCGGAGCAGCCGAAATCATCGTTTCACCAAATAGGACGCCAAGAAACGCACCTGGAAATTCAGAATTCGCCCAGCATGACATGCAGATCCTCAAGAACTGTCCTTCAAATTGGGAGGGCGAACGTATTTGCCCGAGTCTCGACAGCACAAAAACCAGCGATCAAGCGTAAACCTGCTGCGTTGACAAGAAGGATCAATGCAGCATGTTCTCCTTCGCATTGCAGTGCCGCGTGTAAAGAACTTTGCGCTTCTGATGTTCGAACTCAGCGAAGGGCATGTCTCGCAATGGCATGCCCCTTCTCCTGTTCAGTAGCCAGGCGTGGGCTTCATCCCTGGCTTGGACATGCTCAATCAGTGGCTTTAAACACCAATCCGCGGTCAGATTTCCCCTCATCAGGTGCCCAGTGGCCAGTGGAAAACAAGGGCATCCTTTTCAAAATAAGCTCAACGAGTTGCACTCTTCCCCCCAAAAAGTTATTTTTCAAAAAGAAAGAGAAAAAAAGAAGAAAAAACAAAAACGGCGCAGCGGGGTCACTGGGTCCCTTCAAAGGGGACCAACAGCCTGCTGGTGTTCAACACACGTGCCATTTGTTTCTCGCTTTGTCGGGTCCCGCGCCGGAGCTCTGCCATGCCCTCGGAAAGCACGAGGCAGCGCAGTTCGAGTGGGGCTGGCCCGAGATCTGCACAACTTTACATGATACAGTAGCAACACACTGACTGTTTTTGGCAAAAAAGATACAAACCCAACAACTTGAAGAGTGAAGATAAAGCAGTTCACGTTTTGCTGGTCACACTGCCGGATCGAGTGGACTGGCCCCAAAAAGTCCTGGTTATCACCAAAATGGTCCAAACTCAGAGGATCTCAGGCAGTGAGAAGTGGGGAAATCTGTGTCAGGGTCGGACAAACAAAAACAGGTGACTTCGCTGGAAGTGAAGAGGAAGTGAGTAAACAAGCCGACATGAGAACGGAACTGCTTCTTTCCATCATCCCCCCCAGCCAGTTGGATGCAAGCACCAACTAAATGGGCACCATTCCCCTTCGCACTGATCTGGATCGATCAGTCCCAACGACCGCTAAAAATGCTATCTCAAGCAGCTTAAAGTCCAGGAACTCAAGCCTTGCAGCCTGAAGCAACTTGCTGTACACCTCAACGTTTGGGAATTCAAGGATTCAAGCTGGGAGTGCCATGGCTCCTGTGTCGATTGCTGGGCAAGGCCATCCGATTGCTCGGGGCCCCCAAGCAAAAACGGGTAAATGACATATGTTTAGTGTCTGTTCGGAGACGCCGTGCCACCGCTCCAAAGGGGGTGCGCGGGGGGGGGGGGGGGGGGGGCACAACACACCTCTCGTACAAGGGGTTTTTTGGATATTTTGGGCGTAGCGACGGTCTGCTTTTCATATGAAAACGAGTATAGTTCAACCCCGGACTGGCCCCCAACTAAGCCTGTACATGTACTGAGTTACTTGGGTGGTGCGCTAATTCTAAGAGGCTTCATTTGGGTCTGTTCCGGGAAATCGGAGAACCCCATTTGCCCAGAGAACCTGGAAATACAAGGTGCTCACCATTTGGGACCTTGACTCAATATTTACCAAACTGGGAAATCCAAGAGGAACACTCAAATTTTGGATTCCCAACTTCGGTTTACTCCTGCGACCACCTCAGTTGCCCAGTGCTTCTTCGGGCCCCGGCCACCCTATTGGCAGGCATTCGGGCGGGCACGCTTGAGCCGACGCGGATCAGAAGGAACCAATGCGGATGAGCCTACCAGCCCAGTTGCAAGGACCCACACATGCCCCAATTTGCCGTGTGGTGTGTTGCAAGGTGTTGATGTCTTTTTTAGGGGCATGGTGGTGGTGGTGGTGGGGCACCAGCACCAGCACCAGCAGCCTGCTTGTCTCTTTTTCGGAAACGCCAAACCGAAAGCGAGCGAAAGGAGATGCCTCGGGAAAGGCCTCTCAGGACTCAGACGCTGCAACCATCTTCCCTTCGGTCGATCAACTGAGAAAAAGAACATTGAAACACATCTACTCACGTCCGATCCAGTGGATTGGCAACAAAACAAGAAACCAACTTGTGCTTGCCCCTAAAATGGTTTTCCCCAAAAGTTTAAGAGCCAGGAACTCAAGGAGCGAGTCAAGCGACCTCGCGAACCATGGGGTTCAAGGATAAATTTAGGATCGGCTCGCTGCCACCAACCCAAAAGCCATCTGAACCACCGAGAAGGGAAGTACTTGTTTTTCTTCAACCAAAAGTTCAAGTACTTGGCTGTTCGTTTCCGAGATAGAAAGTGGTTGGCCAATTGGGGCATAACCCCTTGATAACAAGGTTACTTGGGGGACTAATACGTGGGTTATCCAAAGCTTGAGCCGTCCTGTGACATCTGGCAACTCGCCGTGCGGGTTGGGGGGAAATAAATGGAGCGAGAGGGATGGTGAAGACAATCAGCTTCTCACTTCCTGAGCAGATTGGCCCAAAAAGGTCTGAACTGTTTTCCACCAAAATGGTCTTCCCAAAAAAGTACAAAGCCAACAAACTTGATTGTACCTGTTCATGAGCGGAATAACCCAGGTGCAGTGGAATAACCCACTCAAATTACAGGAACTCAGGAAGTGAGGCTTTAGCAGACCATGCTGAACCACCCCAACAACCAAACCTCCCCACCGAGGACGTTGCTTTTCACGGCGGGCAGCAATAGCGGTGGCAATGAAGACAAGACGGGCTGTCGTGAAGACACCTGCGGGCTATAGGTTAGTAAGAGTTGTTGAAGGGCACTCAGGGAACCCTCAAACGAAGTGCCCGAGACTTGGGATACAACCTCCCTTCCGTAAGAAACTCCACCCTACCCAAAAAAAGGCTCTAAAAGGGAGGACGTACAATTATTCCCTGAAAAATGCAAGTGCAGAAGCCGCTCTGCATCGCGCCGTTGAATCCGCAAGTGTCTTCCCGAGCGGAACGCGAGAGCGCGCGGCGCTTCACCCAGCGCTCTGGGCCTTGGACAGCGGGATGAAGGCGAGGTTGCGGTTAAACAGATGCCCGTGAGTAGCAACTCTTGGCAGCTTTGCTCCCCTCCCAAAAAAAAGAAAGTAGTTTTCCCTATCGTAAAACCAACCACAAAATGGGGTTTTCTCAAAAAGACAGAACCACCGAACTAGGCTGGAATTAGGACCCCAGCAAACAGTTATCTTTTTTGCCGCTTTGGTGGAAAACAAAGGGACCCCAAAAAAGCAAAAAACAAACACAAAAAGGGGAGCTAATTCTGGGGAAGCAATGTTATATGAGTGGGTGATGCGGTCTGAAAGGCAATGTAATATGAGTGGGTGATGCTTAAACGGTCTGAAAGGGAATGTGGAGGCCCTTGACTGAGATTTAAGATCACAGGAGCCGCAAATTGGCTCCCCGCCCTCCTTGAAACTGGCAAACAGGGGTTGAGACAAAAGCGCCCCACACAAAAGCTACAAGACCAATGCTAAAACAAGACACCATGGGCAGTAGAAGCAACCTGAAGCCAGCGCTCGATCAAACGATCAAACATCTCCTCAAGCATAGTTCCCATGTTTCGACATGTTCAAGCTGCCTCTGTTTCAATAACTTCGATTGTTTTTGTTGTTCAAACAAATGTTGCCCAACCCTGCACTGGGCTCTTTGTTGTCCCTTTTACACCTCGAAAGGAAGCGCACTTTAGATTCACTTAACACGTTATATTCCAAGCAGCCAAAAAAACTTACATTTAGGGACCTTTAGCTCACTTCCTGAGTGGATTGGCCAGAAAAAAGTATGAAGTTTCTGTTTACCACTAAATGGTCTTCCCAAACAGCATCAAGTCCGAAAGGAAACTCAGGATGCGAGCTAAGGAAGCCTTGCTCGTCTCGCCTCGCTCTCCTAAGCTATTTTTCCGCGCGCGCGCGAAAGCGCGTTTCAGGCCCCGCCGATCTTCGGCGGGTCCGTGTCGATCGCTTCCGGGCGGATCCGTTCCCGACTTTTCCCCTGAGAACAGCACCCCGGTGGATGCCGCGAGCGAAACACCATGGGCAAAGTATAGTCAGGGGCGAGGTCGCAAAGGCTAGGACATCCTTTTTGCAAACTCAGTCAAACAGCACCCAAAAGCCAAAAGATGATGCTAAACAGCATCCAGTGAACCAGCACCTAAAAAAGTGGAAGTTCCAGTGATGTTTACCACGGGAAAAAGGATCGTTGGACCCCTTGGCCCCCTTGGCCGCTGGTTTTCAGGGCTCCGGTTGCCTTCTCTCACACCAGCACCAGGCGCCAGCCCGAAGGCTTGGCAGCCTGACCTCGCATCACATGGCCGGTGCCCCATTTTCAGCTTCCCTCAAAAAGCGTGGCTTGGTTGTGTGTTTTGCTTTTTTGAATTGGGAATGTGAGTTTTTGTTGAGCATCCCTGTTCTCAGTTTCCCTCTGATTGGTGGTTTGGAGCCGAATCGGGTTCCCAGACAAGTGATTCGGATTCCCTGCCCCCCCCCCCAAATATTTTGGGCTGCTTCCCTCAAAAAAAGTGGCTTGTTTTTTTGTGGGGGGGAATGTGTGTTTTTGTTGGGGGTATCCTTTTCTAAGTTTCCCTCAAGAAGGGTGGTTTGGAGCCGAATCGGTGGTTTGGTGCTTAAGAAGGGGTGTTTCAACCACCCAATGACGGCTGCAGACTTTCTGTTCAAAGGATTCCTCGAATGGGTCGCTTTGCAAACAGGGATCCTGACATGATCCTTTCAGGGCTGAATGAACGCTTATGTACAAAGCGCTGCTTGCAACATTAACGAGTTACTATGGCCAAATCATTGGGGAAACCAGCCACAGTTGGGCCCAACTAACAAAAAACATCAGGCAAAAAGCCCATCGCATACATTCTCAGCTTTTTTCCCTCGTGTCTCGGATTGGCTTAAACCATGGCTCAAACAAGCACAACCTCACTTTCACTTCCGATCGAGTGCATTGGCAGCAACAAGTAGCTAATTTTTGACAGTGACTTACCACTAAAATGGTCAACTCAAAAAGTGGCTAAAGTCCTGCAACTCAGGGAGTGAATGTTCGCCGAGCCAGGGTTTGACTACAGCATTTTGTTGCTCTCAGGGAGCTTCCTGGATTTTTGGCTAGGTTTGGATCGAGATGGCCGGAAGAGATGTGCATCTCAAAATGGGGAATCGCCACGCTGCGCCAAGCCTCTCCACTCCACTCCACCCCACTCCACTCCACTCCACTATGTGTATCTCAAAAATGGGAAGGGGTGCCAACCCCGGTCCCCCGGCCCCGATCTCCACATCCAAAATGCTGCCCATGCGCAAAATCCACTGAAATCGGCACTTGGATGGCGTCTCCCAGTGGCTCAATTCTCCCTGCTGAGTATGACACCCTAGTTCTACGGGAAGCTGCCCACCATTCTGAACCCAGGGATCCTTCTTTTTAGGAGTTCTTTTCGGGGAAACTCCTGGAAGAACGATGCTCGAAACGAAGGGGATCAAGCCCTAGACTATGAATAACCACCGATCCCCCATGGACATTTTTTTTAAATCAGCTGGTGAACTGGGTTGCTCCAAGCCGCATTTGGTTTACTTGGGCGCTTGGATTTGCTCGCACCCGTCAGCCAAACAAATGCAGACTTCCATTTGCTTTCTTGGGCTCCCTGGCTGGGAACAATGAGAACGAAAATGTCCAGCAGTGCAATCGATTCCCTCTCAAAACCAACAGGGGAGAATAATAATGAGAATGATAAATAACATATATTCGTTTCAGCAAATCTAGGTCCTCCAGTAGAGAGGTTAGAGTAAGGGTACCAACTTTTTCCTGTAGTCTATTTTAGTAGGGGAACCCTCCCAACTCCCAACCAAGAAATGAGAACGGGCACCTGGCTGGGGGACCTAGAAAAATGGAAGCCTAGGAGCCCACGGCAACGGCCACGCGAGCCGACCGTCTCGACGGAAGCGAGCGAGTCCCGCCTTCCTCGGGCGGCTCCTCTTTGGCTCGCTGACGCTCTCTTTCCAGCAGCCTCGGGGAGTTTGTTTTGCCGTGATCGATGTTTTTGCGTTGCTGGCGAGACCACCCTGCAAGTGTTTCTCTTTTTGGGGGGTTTAGTGGAAAACAAAACTTGATGTCCTAAAAAGTTAAAGTCTAAAGATCCAACCCAATAGCAGTTAAGTTTCACTACTCCCATTTGCTTTTTGTTTGCTCCCTGGAGAGAATGGGAAAAGAGTTCCAGTAGTGAAAACATGATTCCCTCAACAGAGAAAAAACATATTCGTTTCAACAAATGAAGGGTTGAAGAACTGGAGTCATACATGTCTAGATGGAAGGGACATGTTTTTGTTTAGTTTCTTTCTGGTAAACGCAGGCGGGGCGGGGCAAAAGGGGGGAGTTGGAAGGGACACTACTTTTCTCGGTGAACATTGGGGGTGAGGACCTGAAATAATTTTCCCTCCCTCCAGCGATCATGCAGCCGACAGAATACAACAAATATGATTCTTCACTGCCGATCGAGCGGATTGGCCAGCAAAGGTCTAAACTTGTTCTATGCCACTAAAATGGCTCAAGTCCATGAACTGAGGAAGAGAGTCTTGGATTCAGTTTGACTTTTCTGCATGGAACTGGCTCAGTGGCACCCTGTGTTCCCCTGGCGAGAAGAAGAAGGCAACCCCCCCAAAAGTATTGCGAGAACACGCGTCGCCCCCTTACTTCCAGTCGTTTTTTTTTTTTTTTTTTTTTTCTCCGCCCCTGGACAAAAATACAAACAACAAACTCCAGTGATAGATTCCCTTCAAAAAATAGAGGGGTAAATGATTTCAACATATTCTTCTGTCGCCCGTGCGTTAACTGAAGCCCGCAGCGGTCGCTTCCAAACGTTCTCACTTGCCCAAAGGACCTGGGAATAAAGTGATCACCTGTTGGGACCTCAGCTAAAAATAGATTAAAAAAAAGGAAAACCAAAAGGTCAAAAGGTCGCCTTTGAACAACTGAGTGTTTAAAACATCAATCGAGATCCAAAACGAACCTAGCGGACACCCCAATCCAACCAAGACAACTTCCAAGTGCGTAATTGCCCTCCAGCCACAACAAACGCCTTCACCTTCCAAGTGCCCCGCCTCGCCACCACCCCACCCCTCCACCCGCACCCCAACCCCGCCCAACCCTCCACCCCACCACCCCACACCTCCACCCCCACCACCCCACACCTCCACCCCCACCACCCCCAACCCGCACCCACCCATTTCACCCCCACCCCACCCCCAGTTGCTCAATCCGAGTCGCGGCAAGGCGCAGGGAGTGGCCCGTAGCACCAAAGCGCCACTGCCTGCAACGTGTTTCAGTCGATGAGTCGGTCACCTCTTTCTGATTATACTCACTCCCGATCAAGATGGACCAGAAAAAGTTGCCACGTTGTTTATTTACCACTAAACTAGTTTTTCCCCAAACAGTCCAAAGTCCAAGAACTCGGCCCAAGGGGGATTAGGTCACTCCAAATCTCTGGGAAAAGCTTAACCACATGCCTCGGAAGTAAGTACCCCGGATATATGCCAATATTGGTGTCTCTATACTTATTTCCTACCTTGCATACATCATATATGCATCTAAACACTTATCGTTATCATAACTACTCATATGTAATGCACTGACACCCTTCTGCACCCCATGTACAACTTGAGACACCCTCGTTTCAAGGTAACTCTTGGACCCAGCTTTGACCATGGCTAACTTGTCCTAGAGGTTGAAATATCTAAGCTATCTTTCGAGCGATGTCCAACAAATGGCCATCCCATGTTCATCGGACCTTTTGATCAACTCCCCCAAAAAGCCTTGCTGTCATATAAACCAGTAGTGCAATCGACTCCCCTTCAAAACCAACAGGGGTTAATGGCTGTGGCTCAAAACACCGGTACCAAAATGGATCCCTGGCAAGTGGAACCAAAGACTAAAACCCGCGTAGCCCCATACCCATGTTCATTTCAGCACATGGCATTTCGTACTTGGATGTTCATTTCAGCCAAGTCCGTGGTGTTTCTCGAGGCGCCTAGGGGCTGTAGAGCCTCCACCGCGTCCTTGGAGTGTGGGGTCAGACTTTTCTCATGCGGGGGAGGGGGGGGGCTATGCGTGTATGACTGGAGAAGCCCAGCATAAGCCAAGGATGAGGCCAGAAGGCCTTCTTCACTTGGCTGGAATCTTTTTTACCTGGTCAGCGGAAAACAAAGGGACCCCAAAAAAGCAAAAAAGGAAAAAGGGGAGCTAATTCTGGGGAAGTTCAGGGGTCAAAAAGGGATAGGCCCCCTCCCCATAGCCCATCCATCACTAGGTGGGTTGAAACAACAGGTGTCTGCTGAGGCTGCGTTTTTCTTTTGTGGCCTTTCAGGGAAACCAAGCATAAAACCGTTGCGTCACTTGGGAGGGGCCCCCTAAACTGGACTCTCCGCTTTTCAGATCTAAAAGTGAATAACGTGCGGGGATTTCGGAAACCCAACCAAACCCAAAAAAGCGCTAAACGCCTCAGGGGACGCCTGGGAACCTCCAAGTTGACCCCGGAGTAAACCCGCCCCACCAAAGGGGTCGGTGTTCTCTCGATCCAAACGTCCAAATCCCAACGATTTGGGACACCTTTCCGTGTATCAACCACCCCCGGAAAAACACGAAACATAGCGACTATCTCCGTGAAATGCGATTCCCTTTAAAACCAAGAGGTTGGAAAATAATACATATTCTTAACATCCCCCCTACCTTGCAAAGGAGGGGGGTGGGGGGTCCCCCAACTCCATGTATTTACTCTTCCCCACAAAAGGGGAAATGGCACCATAAATGGAGATCTCCAGGGGTCAAAATCCCTCCCCCAATTCCATTTTTAGGTGGGGATTTCTTAACCAAATGGAAGAGGTTGGTAAGCCATGTGAAATCTCCCAATCCTTCAGCTCCAAGGCGCGACATCGCTGATGGGGTTCTCCTCCAAGTTCAGCGTCTTCAGCACCACGTTCCGCGTCCAAAGCCAGTAGGTGCCTCAAGCCAAGCGGCACAGAAAGCTTCCCCCCTGATTCTTTGGACAGGGCTGCCTGAATGTCTCACTCCAAAAGCTGATCCTTTTTACTGGTGGTTCCCCTTGGATCGTTTCGCCACTGGTTCTCATTTTCGGGAAATGGCTCGGAAACCCGGTTGGATCGCTGGTTTGGAGACCCGACTCAATTACAGCAACTCATGCAACGGCGTGTAATGGCATGCAATGAACTCCGAAACGCACCAGTTTTGTTTTGTTCAACGGGTTACTGGGAACCCAAAATGAATAATTAAACACCTGCTTTACTTACAGGGGGTGGTCCCCTTTTAAATTGTGGGGCTTTTTGGGAACACTCCCCTATTAGCAGAACAGGTCAAACGTCAAGGGGAAGCCAACCCGGCACTCCCTTGGACCTAACTTGGAGTGCCAGGCCCTCGCTTCTAACTGTCCGTCCCGACATGAACTCCGATCGGGCCCTTCCATGTGAGGGGAAGCGGTGAGGACGGCTGCGAAATGGTGGGGTGGTGAGTTGAGAATGGCAAGGTGGTGTGATGTTATCCGGCCAGAAATGCTTAAGGAAAAGGATCAAACCGTCCAACGTCTTGCAGGGTCCAAACCCGGGTCAACAGAAGTTACATGTACCAGCCACCAAGGCCAGATCAAGTGTTCTATATTTCGAAGGCGTTTCGAACAAGTCAGTGAACCTCGCAATATGGTTTCCGGGACCCTCGTTGCCTGATTTTGGGAAAGGGTTAGACAGCAAAACCTGACGGTCCCAAACTGCCACCCAGATTGCGTTTCTTGCTGGTGCTCACTCAGGGAATGACCTTCCGGCTCTTGGAAATGAACCGTATACAGTTTCCACAGGGGATGGTTTGCGGGGTCACTTCAACTTATCCCCTGCCTATCGAACAAGTTTTCCACCCCCCAGTCGATCGATCGACATGGATCGCCTGACTCCGCCTTCACCTCCTCGCAGGTCTCGAAGCGAATCTCCGGGAAGTAGCGCTCGCCTACGGAGGCGATCCCAGCTGCAACCAAGCCATTCCCCGTTTTAGTCGGGGGCTTCGGGTTGCTGACAAAAGGAAGCGCAAATGAGCTTGAACTGGAGGCTCGGTTTGGAGGCGAGTTCTGCATGTCGTTAAGCATGCGGTGCCCACAACTGGACCAAAGTTCTGGGCGTCGGCGCGGTTCATGTTTTGGGAGCAGGTGGGTGAAACTCATGCAGGTAGACAAGAACTGCTTTGCAAGGCACAGGGTACATAGGCTCATAGGCTCAGTAGGATTTAAGCCTACGACCTCCTCAGAGGCGCACTGCCAGTCCCTCACGAGCCCAACACGAGTTCTGTCGGGGCAGGGTTTGGAAGAAGATCTCATTCTTTTGCAGGCTTCTTGTGAGCAGAGTTGGTTCTTCCCTGGCTGGAAACCAATGGACACCTATGGGTTTTCCTCTCACAAACAAACAGCCTCATGATACACCACCCGCCAAAACGAAAAAACAAAAGGAAGTCAGGTGGTTACACCAGCCATCAGAGAAGGATTGGAGCACTTTTGCTTGATTAATTCCACAGGGCTCCCAACATTTCCCCTCAAGACATCAGCTTTATGAAGGGAAGCTCACCTTAAATGGGCAAGAAAGGGTGATGTTCAAATGCACCAAGAAGAGAAATATAGGGCCCCTGTTCCATGAAAAGTGGGAAACCCGCCATTACAGGGAGCTTTGAGACTGGACTCCAAGGCGGGGAGAGCAGGGAACTGAGACCCCTATGCACATGTACCTCAGACCCGTAGAAACAAAAATAAGAAGAACAACGGACACCCCCTCGTCGCCTGTAAAAAAAAAGATCCTCCGAAGGTTTCAGGGGTCTACTCGGGTGTTCGCTCAAGTTGGTAAGTTCTTGGCCATGCTTCCATTTGATTTTGTGTTGCCCCCTGGGAAAATGAGACAACATGTCCAGCATAGTGAAATCGATTCCCTTTAAAGCCAAAAAGGGAACATCCACACATTGTCTTGAGAAAATTCAAGCATGGTGACAACCCATTTATGGACCCCGGCTCACTGGAGTTCACCCTGTGATAATCTAAGTAAAAATCACCACCTTCCGTGGCTTGGCCGGGAAGATTCAAGAAAAAGAGCTCCTGAGCCCCAACAACCGGCAAAAGCTTTCTTGGACCCCCCCCCCCCCAGCCGGGTTCCACCACAAAACCGGGGGGGTGGGCATGTTGCACTCCGAACTTCCGAGCCAGGGGGCGGCCGTTGCCATCTTTGGGCGGCGCCCCTTGGGACTTCTTCTTCTTCTCCAGCTCCTCCCAAGAGAAGACTTGGGTCAAGTTCTTTGACTAGGTCCTCCAGTTGAGAGCTTGGAATAAGGGTCCTATTTTTTCCTGTAGTCGATTTTAGTAGGGGAACCCTCGCCCAAAAAAGGGTAAAAGGGCACTACTGGGGGACCTAGTTGAGGCTCGGTACCTTCATTGGATGGGAGGGCGGCCTGTTTTGGGGTTGGTTGCTGTTGGGAAGCCAAGCCGACTCCATTTGGAGGTGGCAAAACTGCTTGAGAAAGTGAGCGCCAACCCAAGACCGGCAAATGGGGGTCCCCCAAAAAAGGGAGGGGCCATTGCAGCCCAAAAGCGTGACTGGCTCTTGCCAACTAGGGGCCATGGACGGCTTCAGGGCCATCCTTTCCTTTTGGCATCCCGTTAGCAACCAACCAAGGAAGGGTGCCCTCAACAACGACACACCCATTTGGGTGATCCGAAGTGGTTCTAACAAATCAACTTGGAAGACGCCTTAGAAACATATCTGGGCGACCCTACATGGGTTCGAACAAATGGGTATTCTAGGATGCCACAAACAAACACATGACCGTCCTCTGGCGAAAATGGACCCTGCGTTTTTTGGAGAACATGTGGAGCGGTTCCCCAACCATCCTGTGGGTGGACGAAATCTTGCACCACTTTGAATCCATGGTCGAAACCATAGTATGGTGGTATTTACGGGGAAATCATACTTCCAGGGCTTTTGAGGTGGTGCGAAATGGATTTCGTTCATCCAGAGTATGGGTTCGTCTGACTTCAAGTATATAAGGGAACCCCCCCCATATCTTTCCTTTGGATTCTCCTTTTAAAGGAGCCCAACAGGGGCACCGTCTCAAAGGACGAAAATCTACTGGGCGAATGGAATCCGTTTATCACCAGAACCCCAGCGGCTGCTACACCCCGGTCCTTCTGCTGGTCCTGGCTCGCTCAAGTCCGAGTGACCGCATCCCCACCGATGGAAACCACCGCGCTTCCGTGATGTGGCGAAATCCGCTGCGACAGCACCGTTCAGAAACTGGGGAAACCCCGGAATGAGTTGACTCCCCTGTAAATACCAACGAGCATTTTTTAAGCACAACCTAAAGAACAACCGAAAGGGAAACAAAACGAAACAACAACATCAATGAACACTTTATATATTTGGTTTTCTTAAAGAAGTACCGAGAAGATCGAAGTATGGAAATAGATAAAGACATCAACAACGAAAAGTACCTTGACGGCAGCCTTAACGGGAGGGGGGTGGGAGGTCCGTGACCCCATTCCCACTTTTTGCGTCTTTCACATAAGGAAAATGGAACAAATGGAGATCTCCGGTCGACATCCCCCTCCCCCAATTCCAATTCAAGTTGAATGGACCTGCAAATCAAAGGTGATCACCTTGGACCTTGACTAAAACACTGACCAACATGGGAAAAGGTCAAAAAGGTCAGATCCGGCTGATTCGCTTGGCCGCCTTGGTGTGTTTAGGGTTAGAAAAGATGTCGCCATGGAGCTCGCAGGACTTGGGTCGACTTGCGGCGTGCCCATCGAGCCTTTAGGCCCTTGATGACCTTGTCAGCAGTCGCCTGCGAAGCTGATGGAGGGTCTACGCTTTTACTTTGGCGAACGTGAGACGCACAGAAACCGGCAAAAGGCGTGCAGGAATCCAGATGCTCTTGGGCAAAAGGAGCGCAAACAAGGGTTACCCCTTTTTGGCGTCGCTTTGATCAAAGCCCGGATACTTTCCTTGCGGAACAAATGCGTGGGCCAAAAGGTCCAAAACCGGGTGATTTTGTCACACCGGTCTGACCCAACCGATCCAACAGCTGAAAGCTCGCGGACACTCTGCTCGCCTTGTCGGTGATGTGGGTTCTGCCCAGCACGCGGCAAAGGGACCGCAGCCCCTGGTGAGTCACAAAGTTTCCTCGGCCGAGGAGAAAGGAAAACGGGAGTGGAGCTGGGTGGCGAGACCCCTCTGCAAAAAGTCTCTAACTTTGTGAGAGTCCAATGGAAATCCACTGTTTCCCAAATAGCCATGTGAAAGCTTTCCACGTGAAGTTTCTTCCGGAGTTCTTTTTGTTGGTCGTACCATCCGGGGGAGGGGGGGGAGCAAACAAAACAGCGAATCATGCTGGAGGTTTGAGCAAAGAAACTTGAGACAACCACAACGGATCTCATCAAACAAAGAGACATGACCAAAGCCAAGAAAAGGAAATAGGACACTTTCTATTAAAGCATTGAAAGTAGAAATATCAGTCATGTTCGATTCCTGATTCCCCTTCAAACTGAGGAAAGAAATAATCGCCTCAGGACTCAGGTAAACTTGGTTGAGGGAATTGCCAACTGGCTCTCCCAATGACAAATGTGACACGTTTTGCTCACTGAGGGAGGTAACGGTTCCCTATGACAGAACTGGGGTTTCCATCCCACAGCCCTCATCTTCAAAATGCAGGTGCCCTCCACCCCCGCCTGCAATGAACATGGGATGCTGTTCTTGGTTCGGGGAAAGTGGGAATCATTCAGCCCAAAACTGGAATGGTTCTGGTTGCTGACCAACCCTCAGCATGTTAGCCAACAACATTATTCTCGTCACCCCCCTCCCCACTGCAAGGCAAACAGTTCAAAGCATGCCACTCACGGCGACCGTTGCGTTCTCCAAGCAAATGGATGAGAAGTGAGCAAACGTTCCAACCTTTCGTACCCAGAGCAAACACAAGTAGTTGACCTAAGGATCCCCCCTACCTTAGGGGGGAGGGGGTAGGGGGTCCCCCGATTCCATTTACCTAGTCTTCCCCATGAAAGGGAACATGGAACCCTAAATGGAATTCCAGGGGTCACCCCCCTCCCCCATTTCCATTTTTAAGGGGGCGGGGATACCTAAGGACATGAGGGACGTATCCCACAAAATAACCAAGCGATTCCCAGCTGGGAGCATGCGGCATGCTCCCGGAGCTGGGCTGGGTCTAAACAACTCCCTGTGTGAAGGTTGGCTTCTCCGACCAGTGGTTGGTGACCAGTCGAGGCTCAACAGGGCTGTGGGAAATGACCACTTCTGTGATACAACAAAAATGACCTCCCAAAGAGCAAACCTATAAAGAGGGGATTCCCTTGTATCACAGAAGTGGGGATAAACCCCTTGTGATCCCACAACCCTGAGGCTCAAAGATAGGATACACACAGAGCTGGCCTTCAGGGGCTCCGATCTTGTCAGAACCCATTGGATTGGCAGGGGGACACTTGGGGAAACGAAGCCTGGAAGACTTGGCAAAGCAATGGCGGGGGAATCGCCCCAAACTGCCCCAAACATGGCTTGGTTCCCAGTTGTTCGGTGATATTCGTGGAATGAGGAATTGAACCCCTTTTGAAGTGGACTATTTTTTTGTGGGGGAGCCAAACAAAAAGGGTGTTTTTTTTGGTGAGGGTACCAATTATTTGTTACTTTGCTTTGAAGGGGAGCCAGAAGGAAAACCGGTCAAAAGCAACATCGAAGCATTTGGGCTACCGCATGGCGATCCCCGATTCTTGAGACGCGCCCAACTTGAACCGAGAGTCGGCCTAAGCCCAGGAACTGCAGGCCCCAGTTAAACTCCAAGGCCTGCGGTCGATCGCGAAACCAGCCGAAGGCATCACCTCAACCTTGACTTGGTTGACGTTGGGTTTGGGGAGCATTGTTTACAGATTTAGCCGCTGAGTGGTTGGATTTCAACCACGAAACCACAATAAGCAAAAATGCAACATGTTTCCCAACGACAACCATGTTGATGGTGTGAAGCGCTCCCCAAAATTATGCGGCACACAACCCCAGAGCTGTGGGCAAAGACCCCACTATGAGTTGTTGGGGGAAACCAACTTATTGCTATTGCCAGTGGATCCCAGATACCCAGATCGTAGGTAACCAGCTGTTTTCCTCTTGTGTTTTAAAGGGTGGCTTTTTGGTTACCCACTATACAGGTCAATGGATCACTGGGTTATTTAATGGTTGGCTTGGAGACTGGTGGTTTGGATTTGGAGTTGATCCCTTGGTTCTTGTCGAGGTAAATGGGAAACCACTCCCCGGCCACCAAACATCCAAAGCCACAAATTAAGGCCTACCTGATACCAGCAAACCAGACAAAAAACAAAAACAGGGAAGCTGCAAGAGGTTGATACTTTTTACTGGTGGTTTCCTTCGAAACGATCGCCACGTGAGGTTCCAGATGTTACTATGGATTTGAACCCTTGGCTTTTGCACCTCCAAACCACTAAGAGGGAAGCTGAACGAAGGGAAACACAAACGTGCCACTGAAGAGCCGGAAAAAAGGGGGGAAAACCCAAATCCTGGGCTTGCCACACCAAGCCTCCGCCAAGTGCTTCACGCTGCGGTCACAAATCTTATTGCCTCGTGCTGCGCGCAGTTTGTCGCATCAAGCCCTTCAAATCTACAAATTAAGTAACTATACGGCAATGAATTAAGATACATGAAGTATCTTCGCATTTGCAAAGAGCAGTACCAATGTGCATTGTTTGTCTATGAGTGCTTGCTGGTGGTTGCGTTGTGAATTGGGAGGGCAGGACTTAGCATGCGTTTGCCGGTTCCCGTGGGGATTGCCTTTTTCACTTTGAGGCACTGGTCAGACTTGGACCCCTACAAGTTGCATTTGTTGCTTTGGTCATAGTAGCTTGTCTTCTTTCGGGGACCCGGAAAATGGCTTCGGTGTTCTTGTTGGTTTCCCTTCCAAAACAACCACCAACCAACACACACATTCCCGTCACACCAGCCCCGAGCCTAGTCAAATGATATATACCCCACTTCCTGAGATGGTGAACAAATGCCTACCACTTGGATGGTCTTCCCAAAAAGCCAAGAAACTCAGGGCATGAGGCCAGCTGGACATGATGCGACCATAAAGCTGGGCCAACCATTCCAAAGCCCTCCTGAGTCATAATCAAAACCCGGTATTAAAATGGTCGACCCAGAACCATGTAAAGAATCAAAAGAAAGCCGGGTATCCGCAGCTATTTCTGGCAAGGGGATTGTCCCTTACTAAGCTGCATCTAGGTCCTCCAGTAGAGAGGTTATAGAATAAGGGTATACCCTTTTGCTGTAGCCTGTTACCTAGCTGGGGGACCTAATTCATCTACCCGAATCGGTTTTGAGCACGTGGCTCACCAGGGGGTAGTCTAAAACTCTTGCCCAAACGCTGACCTTTTGACGTTTTTGGTTTTCCCTTGTCGGGTTCCCATTTTTTAGCAAAGGTCACAAACGGTTGCTTGGCTGGCGTTGGCAGGGGAGCAAAAATGTACATTTTAGAAGTTAAGCGGTTGGATTTCAACCACTAAACCCCAATCGGCAAAAATGGGACATGTCTTTTGGCGTTTGTTGCTTTCCCTTGTTGGGTTCCCGTTTCTTTTCCTCAAAAAATGATGTTTTTGGTTTTCCCGTGGTTTTTCCCCGTTTTTGTTTTTTCCTTTAAACAAATCTTGCAAAGGTCGTTTAAACGGTGGACCTTTGGTTTCACCTCGGCTCCGTGGCCCACGTGGCCCTCGCTGGGCCCGGGGCCCCAGAGGTTCAGCGCGCGCAGATGCGGCGCGCTGCTCAGGGAGAAGCTGAGCGCCTGGATCTCCAGGCGGCTCAGGTTGCAGCACCTCCGGGGCATCTCTACTCTTACGGTTTACGGGCTTGCGAAAAAAACTGACTCTTTGTTTTTGTGCAGACCCCCAGTAAAAATGAGAACAGAACCAAAAAACTAAAAAAAAAAAAAACACATCCAGGTGTTGGCCCAGTATTTGAAGAGAAGGATCCCTGAAGAGAATGGGAGCAGGCGGCTCAAGTTGCAGCACCTCACCCGGGAGTTTCCCGGATGCGCGCAGCAGTCACCTTCTTGTTCAAAGGGAAACCAAAAGCAAACCACTCATTTTGGGCAGGTCCCTTTCCTAGTTTTGGAAAGTGGGTTGCTATAAATGGAGATCTCCAGTGTCATTTTCCTCCAAGTGCAGGTACTCCAGTAGAGAGGTTAGAAGGATGGGTACCAACTTTTTTCTGTAGGTTTATTTTAGTACAGGAACCCTCCGAATCAGGGTGCCCACTTTTTTGCTGTATGTCTATCTTTAGTACAGGAACCCTCCCAACCAAAAAAGGGGAGAGAAAGGGCAATACTAGGGGACCTAGCTTTGCTTCTGACCGGAGAGGCAAAGAAACAGGAAGCTTTCGCTTTCCAACCCTTCGTATGGTAGCAAAACACTGTTTGTTGCCCAAAAACCTAAAAAACCTAAACATGCCGACAACAGCGGGGTGCTCTTTGAAGGGAAGCCAGGAAACCAGGATTATGGGTTGGGATATTTAAGCTTTGGGAAACATTCTGGGGCCGTTCAAGGCGATTGTTGGGATCTCGGGGTTAGGGGCTGATGTGCCCCTTCAGGGCTCGCTATGTGTCCACCCAAAGGAACATCGCACCAAACAAGGAAACTCAATCAGTCTTGGACAGGGGGTGTTGCCTGCATAGTGGACTGAGAAAACATGCTGTAACTATTGGGGCGTTTAGTTCAGGGTGAAGGGTGTTTAGCGTTGTTGTCGGGATCTGGGCTTGACCAGTCGCCCCTGTGCTGAGTGCTTAGGGCCTGGGTCTGCACCCTAATAAGGCCTTGCTTGGGGCTTATTGGGGCCTCCCTCCCCCCCCCAACCCCCATGAAAATTTGATCAAATTTTGGCAGTCCGGCCCCCTTCCAACCGCCTAGTAAAATAAACCTTGCTGAGACCCACATCTAATCGGTGAAATAAACCCTGGATCGAGCTCTGCAGCCTAACAACCCGGACCCTCAAAGGACCAATTAGGAAAAGGAATCTAGCCCATACTGTGAACCGTTGCGAAATGCGCGTCTCGCACGCGTTGAATCCATGTTAAAACCATACCTGTGGTTGGTATTTACAGGGGAATCCAATCATTTGAGGGTTTGTTTTGTGGTGCGAAATGGAGTTTGTCCATCCATATGTCTAGGGCAAATAGCTTTGAGGGTTCAGGAAGACAGTTTCCCACAACTCGCCACCTCGCCACTGCGCCTGAAGGACACCATTTCCAGGCTGGTGTCCAGGAATGCCTCGCATGCGAGTGAGGGCAGGACTATTTAGGTTCTGCCAAGCTCGGTTCCTTGAGGGATACATCCAAAACCCGATTGAACTGGTCCTTTAAGTGGCATTGCCCAGTTGGCTTGCACGCTTTTCGGGTTCAAACATGCCAAGTTGAACCCGTCCGATCCGTCCAGTTCACGCCGTTGAAGCGGTGAGGGGCTGTTCCCTTTCAACCGGGAAGCCCTTCCGAACCCAACATGCACAGGGGTGTTTTTTTTCAGTTTGGGGTGGTTTCGCAAGGGAAACAGACACGAAAACCCACCATTTCGGAGGGTCCACTAAACACACACACACACACACGAATGAATGGAAACGTACCCAAAGGGAAACCCATAGCTTGGATTCGGTCGATTCGCTCAAGAGTCGACACGTTTCCCCTTCCACAGATTTCTCACGAAGGGTCCCTTGAAGGATACACCTGAGAATCAGCTGGTACATGTAGCAGCCCTTTTGAAACAGCGGCAATTCAAAGCTTAGCAAAAAACAACTCCAGTGAAAAGCAACCTGAAAATGGTGGTGTTTATTGTTGCTTTTCTTGGCTTGGCCTTTTTCTACCGTAAGGGTCATGCCACCAATGCACAGCCCCGGAGCCTCCAAAAAAAAACGAGCAATTCCTCAGGGGCCCTCTGAAATGAACCAGTTTTAGTTTTGAGGAGCCGCCCTCAGGGTATCATCTCTACTCTTGGTATGGTAGCGAAAAACTGACTGTTTTTTGAAGACCCCCAGTAAAAATGAACAGAAACAAAAAACAAAAAAAATGCCAAGAACAGTGAAGGTATTAAGGAACCCGGCAAACCGAAGGATTCGTTTCTTACCGCGGGGCTCCAAAGGCGGAGCCGATGTCGTCCAAGCACTCGACAGGCTGAAGCGGTGGCATCAGCCTAGCCGGCAGATCGAAGCCAGGACTAGTCCATAGCAGTCACCTAACTTATCTGGGTGGACTTCATTGGGGATTTGGTTGGTTGTATTGGTTGGTTGTTTCTTGGTTGCTTGCTTGGTTGGTTGGTCCAACGTTGGTTTGGTCCAAAGTTGGTTTGGTCCAAAGTTGGTTGGTTGGTTGGTTGGTTGGTTGGTTGGTTGGTTGGTTGGTTGGTTGGTTGGTTGGCTGGCTGGTTGGCTGGCTGCGAAAGCAGTCAGGTAACCCTCCACTATCCTCAACTAGTGGTTGAAAGATTCACCAAGCCACTAACCCGCAACCCCCCCTGCCCGCCCGCCGGCTTCCTCCAAGCAGGGCCGCCGTTCCATAGGAAATGGGTGGAATCCCAAGGAAATGAGTGGAATCCCAAGTAAGTCACCCTGTCCAGCAAAGGCGGTAAATAAGGCACTACTAGGGGGAGGTTAGAATAAGGGTCCCCTGTTTTCTGTAGTCTATTTTAGTAGGGCCTCCCCAAAAAAATGGTAAATGGGCACTACTGGGGGACCTAGAGTAGGATCCGATGGGAAAACCTCATGTGTAGGCTCAATCTGGGCGTGTGAATTTTGGAGGGGGCCAATTTGATGTGGCTTAGGGACACGACCAGGGAAACCGCCAAGCCATTTTGGGTCCTGGTGCCTTCAAAAAGACGAGCCACCCATACGGCAGATGGACGAAATCCTGCAACACTTAAGAACCCGTGGAATGATGATTCCCCTGAAAATACCAACGATGAAATGGCTTCCGATGGTTTGCAAGTGGTGCACGATTTCGCCATCCACAGTATCATCTTTCGGCCCACATTTCTGAGTCCACAGGCCATGGAGAACAAAGGGCAAGTGGGTAAGTTTGAAGGGACACCCTTCCCAAAGAAATTGGATGGACCAAATCCATTTCGCACCAAGAAACCCTATGATGATTCTCCAAAGGAAATCTAAACACCAACCAAGAAGTGGCTTCAACCATGGTTTCAAAGTGGTGCAGCAGCCAAGTCTAAACCAAGCAGCTGAGAAAGAGTTGCTCCTACAATCGCACCCCGAAAGGGGACCACAAAATACCCCCCAGCACATGCACATACACATACACACACAAACAAGCAAGCAGGCAGGCAGGCAGGCAGGCAGGCAGGCAGGCAGGCAAGCAAGCAAGCAAGCAAGCAAGCAAGCGAGCAAACAAGCAAACAAACCAAGCAAGCAAGCGAGCATGCAAGCAAGCAAACACACAAAGTCAACAAAGCAAGCAAACAAATAAGCAAGCAAGCAACCAGGCAAACAAGCAAGCAAGCAAGCAAGCAACCAGGCAAACAAGCAAGCAAGCAAGCAAGCAAGAAGCAAGCAAGCAAGCAAGCAAGCAAGCAAGCAAGCAAGCAAGCAAGCAAGCAAGCAAGCAAGCAAGCAAGCAAGCAAGCAAGCAAGCAAGCAAACACACAAACAAACAAACAAACAAACAAACAAACAAACATACATTACATTGCATTGCATTGCATTACATTACATTGCATTACATTACATTACATTACATTACATACATACATACATTACATACATACATTACATACATACATACATACATACATACATACATACATACATACATACATACATACATACATACATACATACATACATACATACATACATACATACATACATACATACATACATACATACATACATACATACATACATACATACATACATACATACATACATACATACATACATACATACATACATACATACATACATACATACATACATACATACATACATACATACATACATACATACATACATTACATACATACATACATACATACATACATACATACATACATACATACATACATACATACATACATACATACATACATACATACATACATACATACATACATACATACATACATACATACATACATACATACATACATACATACATACATACATACATACATACATACATACATACATACATACATACATACATACATACATACATACATACATACATACATACATACATACATACATACATACATACATACATACATACATACATACACATACATACATACATACATACATACATACATACATACATACATACATACATACATACATACATACATACATACATACATACATACATACATACATACATACATACATACATACATACATACATACATACATACATACATACATACATACATACATACATACATACATACATACATACATACATACATACATACATACATACATACATACATACATACATACATACATACATACATACATACATACATACATACATACATATACATACATACATACATACACATACATACATACATACATACATACATACATACATACATACATACATTACATTACATTACATTACATTACATTACATTACATTACATACATACATTACATACATACATACATACATACATACATACATACATACATACATACATACATTACATACATACATACATACATACATACATACATACATACATACATACATACATACATACATACATACATACATACATACATACATACATACATACATACATACATACATACATACATACATACATACATACATACATACATACATACATACATACATACATACATACATACATACATTACATACATACATACATACATACATACATACATTACATACATACATACATACATAACATACATACATACATTACATTACATTACATTACATTACATTACATTCATTCATTCATACATACATACATTACATACATACATACATACATTACATTAAATTACATTACATTACATTACATTACATTACATACATACAAACATACATACGTACATACATAATTACATACATACATTACATACACACACATGCAAAGATACAAACATACAAACACATACATACATACACACACACACACAACACACAACACACAACACACAACACACAACACGAAACACACACAACACAACACACAACACACAACGCACAACGCACAACGCACAATGCACAACGCACAACACCCAACACCCAACCCCCAACACCCAACACCCAACACCCACACCCAACACCCAACACCCAACACCCAACACCCAACACACACACACACACACACCAAAAACAACACAAACACAACCACAACCACACGCACAAATAAAGAAACACTCACAAAAGCACGCGGGAAAAAGGCGCCTGTCGTCTGCGCTGTCCGATTCGACCGGCAAAGCCTCGAGCACTTCCTGGCGCTTTCCAAAACTCCGACATCTGGGTGCTGCTTGCTGTGGGGGGCTTCTAGTAAAATCGATGGCCGACAGATACATGGGGCAAATTAACACCCATGCAAACCAGTGAAACCCATCCATTTCTGACCTAAAAAAGGACACTCCTCATGGCTCAAGCTTGTCTCCGTTGAATCCGCTTGATTTGGTTCGACCGTGAGAAGTGGACCCCATGACGAGTCCGGGCACCCAAAGGAACCGGCCCCTGGATCGTTTTTTCAGACCATTCTAGTTTGCGCCAAGTGTGGACTACCTGAAGGTCTCCTTCTTCCAACTCTGACCAAATGTGATGCAGAATCACACTAACATAATCATTTTCCGTCATACAGCGAGTCAGAGCCTTGGCTTCTCGAGCCATGGCGCTCTCTCGCTCTCTCGCTCCTCGCCTGCAGCTTCTCTAGGGGCACCAGGCCGTCCCCGTGGAGGTCTGAGTCCAGGATGTTGAAGATGGGTTCGCAGTCCTCGGGGCTTTCGGTCGCTCTCGACCGGACTGACCCCGAATGGAATGGAGCGGACCTCTTGGAAACTCGCCGAAGGGGTAAAACCCGTGGCCCAGGTCAGTGCCAACACCAAGCTTTAGGGCTTGCTTTCAAAGCCCAAAGCAAAATGGCTGCCCAATTCGGTGCCCAATTCGCCAGTTCGCACCACTCTTGGAAACCATGGTTGAAACCATTTGGTGGATGGATTTTTTGCGGGGGGATCATCATAGGGCTTCTTGGGTGCAGTTCTTTGCCCACAGTAGCAAAACCGACCTTTCAAATAAGAGACGTAACCAGTGGCAACCCTGCCCTGATATCAACTTCAAGGATTGGGGGAGGAAGTTCCTCCCAAAAGGGGGTCTGGTCCTGCAGTGGAGAGGTTAGAATAAGGGTACCGTTTCTTGCTGTGGTCTATTTTAGTAGGGGAACCCTTTTCCAAAAAAGGGTAGAAGGGCACTAATGTGACCTGGGGGTGTACAAAGAAGGTCACGCTAAGAACCATACGGCAGCGGTTGTCAAGATAGTTGGTAACCCCAAACTGGGTGGCTTGATCAGCAAATGGAAAGGACCAACACCTGCAGACATCCTGGTGGGCGAATGACAGATTCCCGTATCCGTAGGCTCTGCTCTCGGCATTTCCCGGACATTTTGGTCTCAAGCCTGAGACCAACACAAAGAAGTGCCCTACCAATTCAGCTTCCCTCCGATTGGTTTGGATTGGCTGGGAATCAGCCACCAAACAACCAGAGCAGGAACGGTGCAAATGTTCAGCTTCCTCATAGTTGGTGGTTTGGAGCCCGGTGGTTTGGTGGTTATGGAGCCAAATCTCTAAAGCAGCAATCCAAATCACTGGGGGTAACTTGAACTACTTCAAGGAGCTGCACAATTATAATCAGTATTCTCTCGCCATGAGGTCATCTGAATTGAAACAACACAACCCTGCTCTAATTATGTCGGCCATTGCAATGACTACTGGCTCCCCTTCTTTCTGGTTTCCCCGAAAAGCCTTACCTGTGGGCACAGGGCCTGTGAACACAAAAGGTCCGACTGCCGCAACCACCTTCTTCGGGGTAGTTTAAGGGATGCGGCAGAACGGCCCTTTGAATCCAACCCAACAAAAATTCACCCCCACACGCACCTCCAAAAAAAAAGGCACAGACACGCCCTTTCTTTTTTGCAGACCCCCACATGTTTCACCGGATCAGCTTCCAGCACGTCCATGTGGAAGGCGTCGTAGAACACGGAGATCCAGGTCTGGAGATCCATCGGCCAAAGCTTGGCCTCGCTTTCGCGTGCACGCGACGCAGAAAAGTGCGCAAGTCTGGTCTTCTTTGGGCTTCCCACTCGCCCCTCCTGGGCACGTTTTGCTGGGGAGTCCCACATCTGGAAGCCATGCTTTGGCAGGTGTGGCCAATCCGCCAATTTGGCCATGTTCTAACGACTTCAATCTTGGTTGACGTCGGAAGGGGAGCAAACATCTAATTTTTAGCAGTTAAGTGGGGATTTCCGACTGAACCACCATAAGCAAAAATGTAAAATGCTTCTCAACAACAACCATGTAATAGGTTCTACACCATGTCCATACAGGGCTGGTAGCTCCTCCAAGCGGCAGTCGCCTTGTGCCCTGGCACCACCTTCTCCGACAGCCTGTGGCGAAGGCAGTTCTGCCGGGCGACGCCAAACCGAGTCAGCTTCTGCTCACTTCCGATCGAGTTGATGGGCCGAAACAAGTAACCAACGCTTTCCTAAATGGTCTTCCCAAAAAAGTGACATAAAGTCCATGAACTCTGGAAGTGAGGCACCCTCCCACGAACCATGAACCTAGCAGAGGGTCCCTGGTGAGAAGAAGGTCTTCCAGCATCCCCCAGCCAGGCTGCCATTCCCTTCCAGCGCTAGTTCGATTCTAGCGGATGGACGCTCTAAATACTGCAAGCAAACCACCCACACCCACCCACCCACCCACCCACAAAACCATGAAGAATTGCAGTACGTCCACCGTAGACTCCATTTCAGGCCATCCGGGGGAAACAAAGCAAATACGCAGATGGAGTTAAGGGGTAATCCCGCCGGAGCCAAAACGAAGCGTGGTGCTTGGCATAGGAAACCCACAAACATGCCAGCACTTACTATCTATATCCTGGCTTCGCCGTGCCTTTGTTTGAGGGCACCCAGGGAATTTGTAGTTTCAAAGGACAACTAAAAGGAAAGACGATGCCATTTTGGGAGGGTCCCATTTCCACGTATGGAACTACAACCCCCCACCTTCACGAGCAGTGGGGTGGGTGGGTCCCCCAACTTGAAGGGAAAACTAAACTACAAGATGGAACTTCCAGGGGTACCAAGATGGCCCGAAAGATGAGGTTCAAACCACCCACCCATTGATGGGTTCACCACCCATTCCTCATCCTTTGGGAAGCCACCAAAGCCAAAGCCTGGGTTTGTGGGCCATGTTCTGAAAAGAATGATGCCTAGGACTTGGAATTGGGGAAGCGCAGCGGAATGTGATGTTGACCCCATACTACTCAACCCCTGGGGCCCCCTCCAACAGTGATAAATCCCCACATTTCACCCAGGGACACCAGGAGCCCATATTCATAAACAGGGGTTGAACTGGGGTCATAACCAGAACCAAGAGGAACACCGGGACCACCCGAAACATGGCATCCGGAAAACCTTTTTTGTTTCCAGCCAGGTGGCTGCTGGATCGCCTCGCCAAGACTGCCACCTGCGTCACTGTTCTCATCCAGGGGTGCCCCTGGGTGAAATGTGGGGAATCAAACCACAAATAGAGGGGAATACCCCGCTATTAATGAACTTAGGTTGATTAATATGGGGTCGACACTACTTGGGTCTTCGATTGCCAAGTCAGCAAGTTGTCGGTAACCCAAGTTTCAGTGGAGTCAACCCTGTTAGTGGGTTCTAACGGTGGGTAACCACATAACTTGGTCACGAACATCCAACGGAAGCTCATCGTTGGAAGGAGAAGATAAGGTGTGTCTTGCTTTAACTCAGTTGCCCAAAGGACTCAGAAATATAAGGTTAACCTTTTGACTTATGACAAACAAATGGAGCAAAACAAGAAAACCAAAAGTTCAAAAAGTCGGCTTTGGGCAAGTGAGTTAAGGACCCCCGAAACTGGCTGTCCTCCAAAACTACCAACCAATGGGTACCACAAATCGAACAAGCGCACCCAAGTTGAACAAGCACATGGTCAAACCGTCGGTTCTGTAAAAACACATGTTCATCGGCCCTTTGGGGCCTATGAGTTGGTAAGGGGTTTCCTTTTGGGTTAAAGGACAAATGTTGCCATTCTAGGGGGCCGATTCCCATTTCCTGAATATAACCACAATGCCGAGAAACACCCACTACACAACGTATTCTCTAAATATGTATCCACGCATCTACAAATAAGACATCAACAACCAACCAAATAAATAAAACAAACATATCTATGTATTTACAGATATCAACATATATGTGTGTAAATACATAAACATATAATGTGTTCTATATACATATGCATATTTACATATGGGCACAGAGAGTTCAGAACCGCCGCCGCGCCTTGCCGGAACTCTAACTCCTCCCGAAAGGCGCTCAAGGCGCGCTGGGCGCGCCGCTCCTCCAGCGCCTTCTCGGCCTCGCTTCGTTCTGGGCGTGCCGTGGGGCTTTCTCTCGGTTGCGAAATCTGCTCCCCTGTTGAACCTGGGCACCCAAAGGGGCCCCCGGATCGTTTTCAGGCCATTCTGGTTAGCGCAGGTCTCCTTTCTCCGAATCTGTAGACCACATGTGATGCAGAATCATATCATATCATTTTCTGTCGTACACCCTCGGTTGCGAAATCTGCCCCCCTGCTAAAAGTTTAACTTTTAGTGGTTCAATGGAAAACCCATTGGTTGGCAAAAAAGCTTCAGCAACTTCCATTAATGATACATCCCCATTAAAACCAACAAGGGAAAATATAAAATATCTTAAGCAAATGGATCTGGCGTTGCTGGAAGGTCGACTTTCTTTCAATAGTACGGCAATAAGCACCTACCTGGAGGAATTGGTCACACATACTGTGGATGGACGAAATCCATTTCGCACCACACAAGAAACCCTAGAATGATGATTCCCCTGTGAATACCAACAAAACATGTTTTTTCATGGTTTCCAAGTGGTGCGAAATGGATTTTGTCCATCCACATGTTCTGGGACGGCCCCCTTTTGCGCTTACAGGACTCCTGGTAGCTCCTGAAGCGCCTCAAACGCAAAAAGTTGGCTCCCTGGGTTCGGCTGCCTAACCAGCCGAAGTCGAGAGGACGTTTGCGACAACTGCCGATAAAGAAAACCCAAACATTTCTTCAGCTAGCCCTCACTTGGCCAGTGACCAGCCAAAACAAGTGCACACTTTTTGGGCCACCACGAAAATACAGGGAGAGCCACCAAGGAACAAAGTGTAAAGTGTGTCCACTGGCTACTGGAGAACCCATAGTTGGTGGGATTTGGATTCGGAATTGAACCGGCTTTTGTACAGGGGAAATGGAAAACCACTTCAGAACACCACCAAACCACCGATTCGGCTCCAAACCTCCCCTTTTTGGGGGGAAGCTGAATTCTGCAAATGTGAAATCGAGTCCCTTTGAAGCCACCCGGTCGAAAACACACACAAACCACCGACTCGGAGGAAGCTAATTTCTATCCCCCCTAATCACCAATCCATAGCCAGATTTCTGCAAAATGGAAAAAGTGCAAAACTGTGAAATCGATTCCCTTTTAAAACCAACAGGGGCACAACACATTCATTTCGGCAAAAGGACAAAACCCCAAAAAACCCATCACCTATGGTTTCCTTTCAATTGGCACGCCCCGGTTTATTCCCCCATCCCCTAAACCTATGGCTGTGGGTCAAAAATACGTGCCCAAAATGGCTTGCCCTGGTAAATGGAAACAAGGACTAAAACCTGCTGTCCCCCGATGGATTAATTTTGACCCATACCCCCATCGCACCAGCCAAAGAAGAGCAAAGAAAACCTATCGCACCAGCAAAAGAAAAGCGGAACAAAAGAAAGCGGCAAAAAAGAAACAAATAATACAAATAAAAAAAAAGGCTGTCAACCTCCACCGCCCCACATCGCTCCGACCGCCCCGCTCCGCCGCTCCTCGTCGATCTCGGACCAGTGGTGCGCCTCTTTCACCGCGGCCTTCTGGGCATCTGAGAGGCCCAGCTCTGTGCGGTTCCACTCCAAATGCAGCGTCTGCACCTCAGCGTCTTCATGGGTCGGCCGGTTGTTTTTTTTGGTTTTGGGGGGGGAACAACCCCGGTTGTTTGGTTTCCTTTCTTTTTTTGGGGGGGTCCCCGAAAAGGCACCGTTTGTTTGAGTTGTCTTTGAGGGGAGGTCCCCTGAACACCTCCCTGGTTTGGTTGCTGTTTTGGGGTGGGGTCCGACTACCTGGAGTCTCCCTCTGACCCGAAATAAAAATGGGTCCATGACCCCTGGAAATTTTGGGTAATGACCAACCATTGTTAAAGGATCCTTAGCGAGACTCCCTTGCTCAGCCCAGACCCCTCACCACCGACCCGAAACCCGGGCCATTGGTTTGCCCGCCGAAAGGATAACACGGCTTCAGCATCCGAAAGTGGGCGTTAGAATCAAGCAAGACCCACCGCTCTACCAAACAGGCCCACTTTTGCTGGTGGGGAATTAAGCTACTATGACACGAGTGTGTTTTTTTCACTGGACCCCAAAATTGTAGTTTGCCGTTTGGTTTCTTTTTTGTGTCCCACCAACAAAGGCACCCTCCAAAAAACGACACGCCCAAATTCGGGGTTTCCTGCCCCTAACAAAACCACCTGAAGGACGGGAAATGACCACTTCTGTGATACAATAAAAAGGGCCTCCCAAAGACTAACCCCCTGTTAGGGGGAGATTCCCTCGTATCACAGACCGAGTGATCCCGCAACCCTGTGTCTGATTTCAAGTTGCGGTTTTCCCTTTGGCTTCCCGAAACCACCAACAAAAGCACCGGGTACCCTCAAAAATCCGACCCCCTGGGACATGTCCCAGCCCACCAAACCACCGGGGAGGGATGAGAAGTGGTTGGATTTCAACCAAACCACAATAAGCAAAAATGCAAAATGGGCATAGGCCAAAATCCAAATCGTACCCCAAGTGAACATCCCAATCCCCACTATCTAGGTTCTAAAATGGGTGGTGCACCTACCCCAAAATGGGATCCCAAAACGGTTTTGACAACCACAGCCAAATGCTTCCCAACAACAAGCATGACTACATTGAGTACTTCGCGGACAACTTCCTGTGCTACAAAAAAGCCCCCTGGACACAAATAGACATACCTCCAGTAGTGATAGACCCCCTTGCAAACCAACAAAGGGGAAATCCCCACAGCCAAATGGGTATGGGTCAAAATTAAACCACCAGAAAAACCGCAGGTGTTGGTCCATGTTTCCACACTTACTAGGGCAAGCCATTTGGGGTACCTATTTTTCACCCACAGCCAACCTTAATCTTCCAGGACCCTGAAAAAGCAGTTGCCTCTGGCCGATTTCCCTTTTTCAACCAAGAGCAAAATCAAGAAGGGCCCTATTTTTGCGGGCCCCAAGGGAAAACCCACAGCCCAATTTGTTCCCCCAGCCAACGAGCGCCTGTTTTTCACCGCGGCCGCTCGAGCTCCGAGCGAGCGAGTCGGCGAGGCGCCGTGGAGTCCTGCAGACTTTGCCTCAGCAGCGCCAGCTGCGCCAAGTCCAAGCCACAGCCGCTGACGCGCAACACCTCCAGGCGCCTCGAGTCGTCGAAGACGCCGACCAAAAGCGAAGATCGAAGCCGGACGGACGCCTTGTCTAGGTTCTGAAGGTTTTTTGTATGACACCCTGGAAGTACACCCTTGGAAAATGACCCAGAATGGTTCGAAATAACACGGCTTTATCCGGAAATGTGCCTAAATGGGGTCAATACCCAGCGGGGGTATTCCCAGGGTGTACAAAAACCCTTAGATAGGTCCTCCAGTAGAGAGGTTAGAAGGAAGGGTGCTGTTTCTTTCTTCTGTCTATTTTGGTGGGTGAACCCTGCCAACCAAGTTGGTAGAGAAGGGCACCTGGATGGGGGGCCTTTTTGTGGCTGGTTCGCTCACATTTCCCGCTTGGGCTTTGGTTCCTTCGGGCATTCCTCAGTTGCAGATTCACCAGCCTGGAATAAGGTGGTTGGAGGGATATTCCCCACATAAACCGCCATTTGGGGTGAGGTCGTGTGAGGTCGTTCTAATTCACCCAGAAGTATGGGTGTTCGATTCGCCAAGTTAGCAAGTTGTAGATAACCACTCGGTGATAGCCCACTTATAAGTCCCCGGTTCAGCGGGGACATACCATACTAGTGGGGTATACCCCAGGTGGGCAACGTCTCACAACTTGGCCGACCGTCAAAGATTCAAAGCCATAAATATGTGGCACTTAGGACGCTCTGGGTAGGGGATCCCTCCGAAAATACGCAGTTTTCGTATTGCGTTTCCTTTAAAACCAACCACTAAACGGGGTTCCCCCAAAAAGATAGACCAACAAGAAGGGGTTTCTCTCTCTCTCTCTCTCTCTCTCTCCCGCTCGGAGGTTGTCTGAACCGAAACTCTCGGCATGGCGCAGGGCGAAGGGAATCACCACCTTGAGCATCAGCATGGAGGCGTGGTCTAGCAGGCAGCTCTGCAGGGCCCTCAGGCACTCAGGCAGAGTGCAGAAGCGGGGGGAGGGAAAATTTATGCAACACAAAAACCACATGATAAGCGCGGCAAACGAACGGAGGGTCCAACCAAGTGATTGGGGCAAACCAAAAGAATACCAACATACCCACCCCCCTCCCCCGCCCGCAAGGTCGTGGGATTTGCATTTCGGCACTGGGTTTCTGATCTGTCCCATCAAGCTGGAAACAGGGCTTCCACCCAAGTCCCACAAACAACCGCAAGGGCTGGGGCTTGGTTTGCAGAACCCGGGGTCCCCGTACCACACCCCGAATTGCTTTGAGAGTGCCAAAAGAACATGTCCTAATGTTCATCAGGACCCTTGGGGAAATCCAAAGAACTCAGGGAATCCCCAGTCTTACTTCTGATCGAGTGGATTGGTCAACCAAAAGTCACCAAACTTGCTAATGTTAACCCCGAACTCCCTACCAAAGTGAACCCCCACTTTTTTCCCAGCAGGGTAATTATTCATCATTTTTTTAAAAGTGGTGAACCCCCACTAAACCCAGGGGGTATTAATTAAACAAAAAAAAAGAAGTTCTGCCTAAACCCAGGGGGGATGAATCATGTTTAAAAACAACAACAAATCCGTCCTGCCCGCTCAACATGGTCCAACCCCAGAAGTTCAAATTCGCGCTGTAGATCGCTCTACATCATTTGCGCGAGAGAGATGCGTAAGCCGACAATCACTACCGCCACAGGAAAGATCGGCGTAAAACTACTCCCTGGGTATACGTAGCATATATACATAAATATGTGTGTATAATACATAAGACAGATATTATGCTACGATATACTGCATATACGCAAATAACAATAACAATGATACTGAGAACTATATATCCGTAATGAAACCACTCGCTGGGTATCTGTAGATCTAGTTTTAGCTGGAGCGTAGTGGCTTGGGGTACAAACTTTCACCCCCCAAATGTGCTCAAGTCCCAAAAGAAAACAAAGAACACACGCACACACAGACACAAAACACACACACACAAATGTCAAGCAGTGAAATCGATGCGGGGTAAGAAACCAACAGGGGGAACCGCAAAAACAAAAGCAAATGGAAGCAACTCTGAGCCAAGGGGTGTGTGGCCAGAGTTGAAGGCAGTCTCAGTCAAGTCTCAGCACCTTCGGCGGCCCCGCATCCTCCTCTGCCTCCGCCTCGGGCGCCTCCGGTGTTTTGGGGCTTTGGACTTTTGGGGTTTGGGGGGGGGGGGGGGGGGGGGGGGGGGGGGGGGAGGTGGGTGGGGAGGTGGGTGGGGAGGTGGGTGGGGAGGTGGGTGGGGAGGTGGGTGGGGAGGTGGGGTGGAGGTGGGGTGGGGAGGTGAGGTGGGCCAAGGGACCGCTTTGGAGGCTTCCTCTTGAGACATCCCGGACTTCCGCAAGGGCCCCTTTCATCGAACTCACTTCGGATTGAGTGGATGGGTCAACAAAAAGTCACATTGATTTGCAATTTACCGCTAAACTGGTCAAAACCCAAGCAGTGGCGAAAGCCTGAAACGGAACTTACTGTGGATGAAGCAAATCCATTTCGCACCACCTGTCAAACCTGGTTTCCGATGATTCCCCTCTAAATACCAACCAAGCGTGGCTTCAAACATGGTTTCCTTTCGTGCGATTTCTGGATTTCGTGCACAGGGAGTGAGGTACTTTGGTTTCAGCTTCCATTGATGAGGCCTCCTCGGTGTTTTCCACCTTGGTCGGCATCAGCTCATGATGCCCCGGCAGATTCCTGGGACGTGTGGCACGTGTCGTTTTCCCGAATGCGAGGCACCCTACCTACGGCAGGAACCGAAGCAAACCTCTCACCTCCATACAAAAAAATGGAAATCACAATGCCTTTCCCCTAAAAATCAGTCACAGTTGCTGAGGAAAAGCAGCAACTGGCGATCCAGGCTAGGCTTTAATACACCTTGCAGGGCTCTGATAATGCGCAACTCCCAAGACTGAAGGAAACCTTCAATCCGAAGACCTCTGACCGGGTTCCGGTGGAGGGATACCTCGCTTCCGATCGAGTGGACTGGCCACAAAAACAACTGGGTTCGCCCTTGTTTGGCCCCTAAAATCCAAAATGGTAACCCCAAAGTGACATTTCAGTCCGCAACGGAACTCAGGAAGTGAGATACATCCAAAAGCTACCTGCGTTTAAAGCATTTGGATCCATGACTTCAAATGGGGTGATTTTGCAACTGGTGCAACTGCACGCTTTGAGGACCCTGCAAACGCTAGATTGGTGGGTCTCAAGGGCACCCATGGGTGTGTGTGTGTGTGTCAATGTTATTATTACTTGTATGTGTTTTACCTATTTATGTGTTTGTTGATGTATGTATGTATGTATGTATGTATGTATGTACGTACGTACGTACGTACGTACGTACGTACGTACGTATGGATGGATGGATGGATGGATGGATGGATGGATGGATGTATGGATGTATGGATGTATGGATGTATGGATGTATGGATGTATGGATGTATGGATGTATGGATGTATGTATGTATGTATGTGTGTATGTATGGATGTATGGATGTATGGATGTATGGATGTATGGATGTATGGATGTATGGATGTATGGCTGTATGGATGTATGGATGCATGCATGCATGCATGCTTGCATACTTGTATGTATGTGTTGTTAGTTTGATGCGTTACTTGTTTATGTGTAAAACAACATGTTGGGGTGGTGGTCCTTCATAGACCTTCCAGAAACTGACCTTGAACAGGGCGCCAACTTCAAAAACACGCCCGCCTCTTGGGACATGCGGGGCTCTCTGCCCACGCGTCAACTGGAACTGTGGTGGTCGGCCTTTTGGTTTACCTTCATCCCCTCAAAAAGCCGGCCCCAAATATCAAAGGACGTGTCCCGCAAGAAGACGGCACCAGGTTCCGCTCAACGACCTCCAAAATGGTACCTACTAAAACTTGCTTCCTGCGTGGATTGGCCAAAAAGAGTAACCACACCGTTTGACTACTACTATTGAGGGTCCAAACCCAAAAAGTGACTAAAGTCAGAAACAGAAATCAGGCCTCCATTTGCTTCAGTTGCCAGGGAACAAGCATGTGCCTCAGTAGTGAAACCGATTCCCTGTAAAACCAAAGAAGGAAATTCACAAAAGTATTATTTTCATCAATTGCAAGTGGGGCGTCCGGGAAACTTGGTACCTTCTAAACTTTTAGCAGGTGGCAGGGACATTTGGCATGGCCGAGTCCGGATGCCTTCGCAGAAAACGTGGGCTAAGGCCCACTTCTTCTGAAAAAGGTGAGCAGGGAGTGAGGTACCCTCAACTCACACAAACCAACGAGAAAATATGTTCAGTAGCGAAATCGATTCCATTGAAACCAGGGGAAAAATAGTTTCAGCAACAGGAACTCAGGGAATGAGGTATCATAGTTTCCAAACCAGCCCCCCTTTGAACCACCCCCCCAAAATAAATAAGGGCTGATTAGGGCTTATTAGGGGCTATTTTTTTGAAGCAACTTCCTGAAGCCATCGGCGCTCGGTAGCCAACCCGCCCGCCGATTGGATTGCATGTTGCTTCAGTTTGGCTTTCAGTTTCTGTTTCTTCAAATTCCCTAGGCGCGCTTTCAGTGTTCCCTTGAATTGGGCTTTACGTTTGCCTTACTCTTGCCTTATTTCGTGCTATATGTTTGCTGCATTAGGCATGTGCGCCAATCTGGACTTAAATTAGCCTTAATGTGGCCTTAATTTAACCCTAATTTGGCCTTAGTTTGGCCTTAATTTTGCTTTACAGTAGCTTGGCGTGATTCCCAACCCAATACACCGTAGGCACGCACCCGTAAATCAGGACATCGCGGTTTCATTTAGCACGTTTGAAAGGCTGGCGCGTTTGAGCTCAGTCTTGCCTTAAGTCTGCTTTACAATTTGCATTGTTGGCTTGAACTGGCTTGAGTCATTGGTGCACAAACAAAACATTGATTAGGCCTTAATTTGTCCACAAGGGTGAATTTCCAAAAAATAACTTGGTCTTCATTTGGCCTTAATTCCTCCTTAATTTTGAGGCCAAATTAAGGCCTTAATAAGGGCTTAATAAGTCCCTACTAAGTCCTTAATAAGGCCTTCCTTTTATGTGTCCTCTTAATTTGGCCTTACTTTGGAAGGGGGGGGGGGGTTCAGGGGGGGTGGTTTTGTAATCTATGAAGGTACAAACTCACCAAACATGGCCCCAAAAAGTGACTCAAGTCCAAGTCTGGGAGTAAGAGGGAGTGAGGTACAGTGGATGCGTGTGCCATATGGCAAGTAAACCAAGCACACTTGTTTTCTCCTTCCAATATGGCTGTGAGTCAAAACCAATGGTACCATTTGTGCGGTAGGTGAATTCACCACCCATTTTAGTTTGTTTTCGTGGGGATTGGGATGTTCACTGGGGGTACGGGCTTTTGACCCATGGCCATATGAATTTGGCATCCACCGTACCCTCAAGCTTCCATTTGCTTAAGCCCCTGGAAAAAATCAAGCAAACAAGATTTCCAGTAGTGTTAGATTGCCTTTACAACCCAGCAGGAAAAATAACAAACAAATAAAAGCAAACAGAAGCCAGTCTCAGACCCAACGCCGCGTTTGCCGCGACCCAAAAGCCGAGGCGCAGCTGTCGGCAAAGCGTTGCGAAGTCCTCTCTGGGGTGACCCGTGCCTCGAAAGGCCTCGGGTTCACGAGTCGACCGCGAGTCAGCCGTCCGGGCCACGCGAAAACTGGCCGTCCGGTTGCAACAAATGGGCTGAAGACCCCTTCAAACACACGGGGTTCCTTGTAAACATGGGAAAACCCCATGTTTGACTAGGTCCTCCAGTAGAGAGGTTAGAATAAGGGTGCCCTTTCTTTCTGGAGTCTATTTTATTAAGTAGGGGAACCCTCCCAAAAAAAGGTTGAAAAAAAAACCTGGGGGAACTAGTTAAAGGCTCAAGAAGAGTCTCGAGTTTTTGTTTTGGCACCGCTTGGTTTGACCAAAGTTTGTGTTTTATGGCCAAGGTTTAAGACCATGTCTTCTAGCCCAAGTGTCACTTGCCCCAAAGGAGCTGGACATATAACGTTATCCTATTGGGACCTTGACTGAATATACGGACCAAAGCAGGCAAAGGGTCGAAAGGAAAGCCTTGGACAAGTGAGGCCCTACGAGAAGTGCTGTGGATGGACGACATCCATTTCGCACGACTTTGAAACCATGGGAGACCGTTGTTGGGTGGCATTCCTGTTTAGGCTTCAAAAGAAAAACGAACGGAAAACCAGCATGAACAAGGAACTCCCATTTTGACCCCCCCCCTCTGATTTGGAGAACCCCGTAGATGAGTCCATAGAATGAAGCCCGTCGCCTGCACGATGCCAGCATCCAAGCGGTCCACGTGATTGTTGATGCCATAAACCCAGGCCTTCCGCTTTGGCTCCTGTCGACTCGAAGGAGCCAAAGCCCAAAGAAGCCCCTTGGATGTTAAACCCGCTTCGGTGGGCTGTAATGGTGGTAACTGGGGACACTAGGCTTGTGATGGTTGGGACCTGCTTGCTGAGTGATTTGAACGGCCAATTAACCGTCGAAAGTAAACCAAGCACAGACGAAAAAAACCAACCAAACAAACAACAAACAAATGCACACACATGTACATATACACAACATCACGCAACCATGGATGATTAGGGTAACTTAGGGGATGTGCTTGTTTCCTTACTCGCGATATCTCGCGATGTTTAGGACATCCACCGTATCTAAGGAAGCAGCTACAGGAACATCTACAGGAAGATATTTGGCAAGCTATGGCGAACAGCAGATGTTCCTGTGGATGGCTTGTTTTGACAGAAGAGGAAATCCTGTTTTTACGAGTTTAAGATCGGGGATGTCCCAGAACCCTCTCAACCCGGAGTGAGACACTGACTGTGTTGCTCCCTCAGCGCGAACCAGGCAGGTTGATTTGGTCCCGGGCCTTCTTTCGGGAAAGGACCAGCCTAGCTTAAAGCCAGACGGATCTTGCGGATGGATCCTTCCTTTTGCTCAGTCCCCCAAAAAAGAAACTACTTCCAGCAGTGACATTTATTCCCTTTAAAACCAGAAAGGGAAAGTAATTAAACAACATATTCCTTTCCAGCAAATGGAAGGATCCTGCGAATAAACAAAAAAAACAGAGGGCAAAGGAAGCGCTTTTCCTGGGGGTGCTCCCTTCTTTTTGCCCGTCAAGCGAAAGGTCGTGGTCGACCTTTTGGGGGGAGCGTTCCCTCAAGATGGGGTTCCCTCACGTGAAACCACAAGGAAACCGCTGCCATCTTTGGGCCTTGAGACCAACCCATTCTGTCTGTTTGAGGGTACCCATTTTCTTGGTTGGTGGGGGAAACCAAAAGGAAGCCCTCGTTTCGGGCGGTGAAAAAAGGCGAGCCAACCATAGGTGGATGGGGCCACTCGAATGGTCCATACCCGAAAAACGTGACTAAAGGAGTGCTCGGTTGCTTTCTGCTCCCCTGATAAAAGTTTAACTTTTAGTGGTTTAATTTAATGGAAAACCCATGAGTTGGCAACAAGTCAAAGTTCTAACATCCAAGCAAATTGCACCAAAGAGTGAGTTCTGCAACCAAAAGATCCACCGAAAGGGCAACTGGTTCCCATCAGTAAGGCTCCTCCTGTTCCTCCTGCGGCTCTGGCGGAGGAGGCTCCTGCCAACGCCACATTTGGGATCCGAGCAGAATGAGTTGACCCCAACTCTCGATCCTCTGGAGGTCTTGAGGCAATCAACTTCAAAAAAAAGTAACCTTCTCCCGCTAACAATAACCCCCCTAATTTAAAACAAAAAAACAAACAAAAAAACAAAACTGCCAGCACAACAGGGGGAACTTGGATCTTCGTGGCCAAGTGTTAGCAAGTCGTTGCCGCGCTGGGTGAGAAACACCCGCGAAACGGGGGACCCATGAGCGGGATATCATTTCGAGCCACTTGCAAACCACAGCAAACCGTTGTTGGATTGAATTTTCTTACAGCGGAATCATGACTAGGTTGCCAACGACGTACTATCTTGGCGAATCGAACACCTAAGTACCCAAAGGCATGAACTCCCATCACCAGATGGGGTCCCTTACTACCTCATAATTTCGCAGATTTGAGGAATCTGTTGACAACTCCCCGAACGAACCCAAACTCAAGGCGCAACATATGGGGTAAAAGCCCTTCAAAGCACCACGCACCCGGCAATGCAGGGCCGATGATTCATAGCTCTGGACTTCCCCGGATTTTGTCCCTTACAAGACATGGATGGTCTGCAGACTACTAGGGCTTGGCGCTTGGGTGTGGCTGACCTGCAAAACTTACGCCCCCTTCGGTGAACCTCAAGATGCAACTTGGATTCCAAGACTAGGCTGGAATTAGGACCCCAGCAAACAACAATTCTTTTTTGCCTGGTTGGTGGAAAACAAAGGGAACCCACAAATAGCAACACAAATAGAAAGGGGAACCAGTTCTGGGGAAGAAGACAGGGTCCTCTCCCAGAGGAGATTCCGAGCCCAAACATGGCTGGGGCGGCTTTTCCATGTTCTGCTGGGCCCTCTTGAAGCGGAAGGGGACAGGAGGTCAACCCTTCTATCCTCTTCCTGTGGAAAAACTACCAGATATGGGTGTGGCTCAAAATTAACCAGGAGGGGTTACGCAGGTTTTGGTCCATGTTTCCACTTACCAGGGTTCCATGTTGGTACCGGTTTTTTGAGCCACAGCCATATTATGCCTACAGGACTCCTGGTAGCTCCTGAACCGCTCCCTCTATAAAATCAAATTTGGATACCCCCAGCTCCTTGGCTCCTTCCTACCACCGCCAGAAAAAGGGGAGTACATGATCTGAAGCAAGGAAGCCAAATGACATCATGGCTCGCCACTCGTTTGGCGTCATGCACTTTGTCGGGCCACCAACTTCCGCCCAATGCATTGGACACTTGCAGGGCCTTGAATTCCAAAGGCCTTACACCTGAAAAAGGCCACAGGCACTTTTTTGCTTTGGACCCATGGATGGAAAAACAAGTGCACCACGCAATGAAAACAAGGTTAGCACCAGAACATTGGTTGGCATTGAACCGGGGAAATCGAATCGATGGATGGTTTCTGAACGGTGCGAGAACGGATTTCGCAATCCACAGGTCCGGCGAAACCGGGTGAAACGGTCAGAAGGTCCACTCCCCACGCGCTGCACGCATTCATACCATTTGCACTGCGACTTGGCGAAATGCATCAAATAAGGCAGGAACAACATGTTTGACGTTGGAAAGGGGGCACTACAAATTCAAATTTTAGCAGTTGAGGGGAGATTTCCCACTACAATAAGCAAAAATGCAAACTGTTTCCCAACCAGCAGCCAAGACAAGGGGACCATCATTTACCAAAATCCAGGTGATTAGCCCGTCAAGAGGCCTCGCGAACTGCATTGATCCCTCTCCTCCACCTTCTTGGGAGGCATGGCGAGCGCTGCGAGCCGAAAGCGAGACACCTGCGGAGTACCGCCTCGCGGTGGGAGGGGGTCCCCAGCCAATACTTCATTTTCCGACCTCCCCCCCCCCGCTCCCATTTTGTCTTTGACCGAGGGGGGGTTAATTGGAAGTGTGGGGGAGGTTGCGAGGGATTACCTCCCCCCAACCAAGCTTCATTGATCGTTCAAGGAATTTTAGTAGGTAACCACAAGAAAACCAACCCCACTCACTTCCTGAGTGGATGGGGAGCCATGTGAGCCCAATTGCCCCAGTTGTTCTGGACAAATCGGATTCCACTGAACAGAAAGCATGGGACAACCTGTACCATCTGGCGTAAGGATCTTGCGCGTCGATCTTTTGGTGCACCCGCCATGGATTTGCTGTGATTTGCTGGAATTGTTGCTGGGAGACAATGAGTACAACCCGGGGCTTCCATCATGATGGCCCGCCTGGTCAGACACCATTCATTTTAAATTTGCAGGACCCCCCCCCCCCCGGCATATCAAACGAGACCCCCTTACATGATGTTGGAAGCTTGGATTGAACAACCATCGCCCCTGCCCCCCTTGAAGCGGAAACTTAAGGGAGGTCGCTTAAGCATTCAGTGCTTCTTGCTAATTCATCATTGTGGCCCTACCCACCAGGATTCTCAGAACCCTTCTGGGAATCTCTATCCCTCTGGCGTCCTGAGTATCGCATAAATCTGCTATGAGGTACTTGGAGCCGCGGGGTATGAACAGCAATCTAAGAAACCCGGTTTGCTGCAAAACCTGAGAAGCGCGTCTTTCTTGAGCCATGAGTCTCGCCAGGAGTCACTCTTCGTCGAGTGGCTGTGGAAAATGTGCGCAGATCTGCGAGTCTGCGAGAAGTTGTCCGGTGTTGAAGGTAAATCGTTGTAGTGGGACACTCCCCCTTACAGATTAACATGGAGCTCAAAAAACAACTTCTACCGCGAAATCCTGAAGGTCCCGGTGTTCCTCCCGGAAATTGCCAGTATAGCCACCCAAACTGCGTCAAGTCTGAAGCCCATGGCGAACTTGCCACTAGCAACTGGGTCTGGGAGTTCCCCGAAAGTATCAACTAGGTCCTCCAAGTAGGAAGGTTAGAATAAGGGTTCCAACTTTTTTTCTGTTTTAGTAGGGGAACTGGGTGGTTTGGAGATTGGTGATTTGGTGGTCAAAAAGGTTAGTTACGCTCTTCAAAGACCAGGGGTTCAAACCCCACCAATCCAAACCACCAACTAAGGGTTGCCTGACTCAAAGGCTTCTCACATTCTGAAAGCGAGGTGGACCAACTCCGCAATAAACAACAAACGTTCCATCACCACAGCTACCTTTTGGCCACACTGCCACACACAGAAAGTACAATAAGGGCCTGAAATCTTAGAATGGGCGTGTGGCCGTCCTATTGGGCCACAATACAAATGGAAGTTGATGGAAGAATAAAGTGTGTAATTTACAGGGTGTCAAAACCAAAGGTCTGAAACAATGAAACAATGAGCCATCTTTGGCTTCCTTCTGGGAAGCCTGCAATCATTAGCAAGGAGGATGTCCCACCCAGTTCAACCTCTCAGGAGTTTCCACAACTCTTGGTTGGTTCCCAACAACAACCATGAACTTAGCAACCCGTTTTTTCCACAACCGTTCGTGTGCTTGGGCTCTTTTGAGCCACAGGAGGTGAGGCCACCGCGTCAAACGCATCTTGCGCGCCATTGCGCGTCGTTTCGCGCGGGCCGCCCCTTGGCATTTGGCCACCGGAGCCGCCAACATGTGAAGGCTCGGACACGGGCTTGTCCCAACCCAACCCGTTTCGACACCTGTTTTTTTCCTAGATGTGCGTCTTGATGGAACTTTTTGCGGGGATTGTGTTTGTGTTTTGCTTGGCTTCACCCATTTTGGGTATTTTTGGGTTCCCTGATTTTGAGTGGGCCAAGCCGGGAACATCATTTTGACACTTGACACTCTCAGTAGTTGGTACCCTAGGTGATAACCCACTTGTAAGTCTCCCTAAGTGGAGTTAATCCTGTTGGTGGGTTCTAACCCAGGTCGGCAGCCACTTACTAACTTGGCGGTTTATCAAAGTCGGAACTTGGGGTGTTTCCCTTTCGCCTGCCGCTTGGCTGACTTCGGGCGTGGTAAAAACAATTGGGCTGAGCCCCTTCGATCCCCTGGAAGTCGAAAACTTTGGGTGGGTTCGTGGAAACTACCACTAAACCTACCAGAAGGCTCAAAGGAAATCCCAAGGATGGCTGGGAACCACCAAGAAAAACCCGGTCCCACAAAAACCGGCCGGGGGTACAAAACCCGCTCCGGGCCGGGCGAGTCGCCGAAAAATCGGCGCGGGCTCCGACCGGCTGAGCAGTTTCCATTGACTGGGTCTTCGCCTTTCCCGAGTAACAGGTCCCGAGTAACAGGTCGCCCTAGGTCCTTCAGATGTGAGAGGTTAGAAAAAGTTGGGTACCCACCTTTTTCCTCCTTTTTTTGCCTATTTTAGTAGGGCAACCCGAACCCTCCCCCCCAAAAAAGGACTCGGGGAGAAAGGCCCCTGGGGGAGTAACCAAGGTGAAGCTCCTTCCGAGTTGGGCATAGGTTCCTTCCACTTGCTTAAGCCCCCCGATGAGTAAAAAAAACGAAAAAATCAACAAGATATTCCTTTCGGCAAAATGGGCGCGCCTCTAAAATGGCCCAAACCCAACAAGTGTTTGAAGGCCAGGAACCCAAGAAGTCTTTCAACAAGTTTAAACCATTCCATTCATTTTGGCATGTGGAAGGGGTGTCTCATCACTTGGCACGGAGTTTAGGCCGAAGCCCGACCTGAGAAAAAGATCGCAGAAACCGCTTCACTTGTTTGGTGCCCATGCACAGGTTTCCAGGCCAATAAAGACCCATCCCCTTGCACAAAACATCACAAAACCAAAGAACCGATTCCTTGAAGCGGGGTTTCTGCACCTGGGCCCTTGACTTGTTCAGTTTAAAAGGCAAAGCTCAACTCGGATTGGGCTGCCATCGGTCTAATGTGGATGTGCAATCTTCATGAAGAAAAAGTCGAATTGAATGCAACCAAGCCTGCAACATATAGCTAGTCTCAAGCCGCTTCGCTTGCTGGATGCAAAAACATGTCGCCCTGCCCGGAGTTCACGCCCGGATTGGTGCGGACAGTTCTCTCTGTCTCCTCCGATCTTCTCCGAAATGCAGACTCGACCCCTTTGCGATTCAAACTGGGCTGTTGTCAGGTCCCCTGCCAAAAGTCTAACTTTTCGGAAACTACCACTAGCAGTGAGAAGCATAAACCTAAGGGGGATGACTGGGAACTACCAAAAAAACATGCATTTTCCCCGGGTTTATGTGTGTGTCTTTTGGAAACAAGGATTGGATTCAGAATAGGTAAGTTACCAACAGGGCGGCATACGAAACACAACAAGCTAGATGAGCAACAAGTGGAGACCACTTGTGAGCAAGAGGTTCGGTATGGGATGTGTCTGCGTCCTAGTTCCTCAGAGAGCTACGGTTACAATTGGTTGCAATGCTGCTTGAATTGGAGGGGGTCTGGACAAACAACCCATAGATCTGGGGCCAAATGGGAATGGGTTTCCCTGCCTGAGACACACCAAACACACAGACACACTTGGATCACCTGGCGACCTGGCAAGAGGTTAAGTGAAAATGCGGTGCTTAGGCTTAAACCCCAAGATCGGGTTTTGTTGTACCAAAGAGCATAGGCAAAAGGAAGGCAAACTGCCAACCAGCTCAAGGGTGTGTGTGTGTCACAACTTCTTTTTTTTTTGCAGCCCCCCGTTACCAATTCCCAGAAATTCCTAAGTACCTCATATTTACAGCTTTGGGTTTGGCTTAAGGGGATTCGTCCATTCCTCAAATCCGCAAGTATCTAGGCTGGAAAAGTCGGACCAGCAACAAAAAAAACATTTTTGCCTGGTTAGTGGAGAGCAAAAGGGCCCGGTTGTACCGGAAGAAGTTTCGGAAACCAGGGTTCCACTTTTTGACTACCTGCAAATAGACATAAACGGGGTGGGTCATGTACTCCAACAAGGGAACCCCTGGGTTTAAGTCTATTTGCAGGTAGCAAAAAAAAACAGTTGGAAATTAGTTGGCGTCGAAAAACCGAATGCCGAAAACAGCGAAGCTCAAACAAAAAAGAGGCTCGATGTTTTGAGGCGAAGGGTACCCTTCTTTTATCTTCTTTTGGTGGCAAACGGGAACCGACGGGAAAACCGAAATCCATTTTTGCGAGCTTACCGCTTTCTTTGGTTGGTGTTAAAGGAGAAACCAACAGAACAAACACATGTTGTGTGTTTTTTTTCATGTTTTTTTTGGGGTGGGGGTTCAAGGGAAACCAACGGGAAAACCGTTGCGCAAATTAGGGGGGTCCAACCTGACAATAGGTTCGCCCCGTAATTTTGGGGGCAATATCCACTTGCTGAGGAAGTTTGAGGTTTCAGGTACCCATCTTGGAGGAGGCAACAATCCGTATCACGCCGCAGGCGGAAGTCGTTGGGCAATGTGCTGCAGGCTATGGTGAATCTCCCGACACTCCTTGCCAGGGCAGGGCTTCATGGGGGCGGGGGCGGGGGGGGTGCAGTGACAAATAAGCCCGCAACAAGGGCTTATTTGGGCTCCCTCAACAGCTCATGGGGGTGTTCGCATGTCGAAACTCAAAAGAAACCAAAAGAAAAGTAGCTTGCTACCTACAACGGCAACTGGGATCCACTGGGTAGGATCCAAGCCTCTTGTTTGCTCATCAGCTTAGTCAATGGTCCCAAACGTGGACTAAAAGGGGATACTTTAACTTGGTGCATTAAACTGACACCCGCAACAAAAAACAACAACATGCCCTCGGATTGCAGGCTCAATTTGAAGGGTGAGCCTCAGTGGGAGGGGAAAAATGTGTGGGAAAATGTGTCTAAACAACCACGGTCCCCTTCCACGAGCAATTCAAAGAAGGTTGTTTGAACCATAGGTGTCCTTTTGGGAAACTTGATGGGTAGATATGGGTGTGGCTCAAAATTAAACAGGAGGGGTTACGCGGGTTTTGGTCCATGTTTCCACTCACCAGGGTTCCATTTTCGGTACCGGTTTTTTGAGCCACAGCCATATATGAACCAGGGTCATCGACTTTCTACCATAACAACCAAAAAGGACACCTATGGGTTGAACAATCGCTGTTCGTCCTTGCATGTTTAAGCAAGGGGCTGGCCCCAAACGCATCCCGAAGGAGATCCAAGCGAGATGAGACATACCAATGAGTCACTAGGAAAACCAAGGAAACCGTGCCGATGCTTTCGATGCGCAACTTACAAGGGCCCATTGCCCCCCCCCCGAACGAGCAGAAGGTCGATCACCAATGAAAAGCCAACAGATCTTTGGGCTTGCAGGAAGGTACTGATCCTTTTCTGGGCTTGACCCCACAACATCCGTGCAAAAGGCACCAGCAAAAGACTGGTCCCCGCATCCCACAGGGGGCAGACTCTCTACACTTGTTGCACCATCCTCTGAGGGCTTCGAGGAAGACTCCGTAGCAGGTTCGGAATTCATTTTGCCCAGCGGATCCATTTACCTGTAACCAAGGTCTTGCCACCCGTTTAACAAAAGGAAAATGATTGAAGGGTCACCTACTATACTCACTTGCTGAGTGGATGGCCCAAAAAAAGTTCAAACTTTATATTTACCACTAAATTGGTCTTCCCAAAAAGTTTAAAGTTCATGAACTCAGGAAGTGAGTATAAGGGCAACACAAACAAAGGGCACTCCCTTTTCCGGCCCCTTTCCAAGGGCACTTTTCTTGGTTGCTGTTGACCCCCCTGCAAAAAGTTTAACTTTTTGGAGGCTTAGTGGAAAACACCTTTACTTCCCAAAAAGTTAAAGTCTAAAGATCCAACCCAATAGCAGTCAAGCATTCTTGTTCCGATCCTTGGTGCAAAGGCCGGGTTGGGCCAGTTTTTCGTTTTGCCACCTTCAACCCACTACTTTTTGGTGTCCCTTGTCCCTTTTGCAGCGGCTGGTTGCAGAGCAAAAGCCGTTGCTCCGAGTCTTTCTCCCTCCAAAAGACCAAGCCCTCCGATTGGACTCATCACCTTCCATGTCCCAAGTTGAGTGTGTGGCGCGGATTTCAGGAATCTGCAATCATCCCCTTGAGCCAAACTCAAATCCGGAGAGTATGGGGTACTTAGGATTTTCTCTGGGACGCCACACTTGTGAAGATATCCTTGGTGGACGATGGAAGGGTAGCAAACATTGAAAATGTTAGCAGTTCAGTGGGGATTTCAACCAATAAACCACAATATAGCAAACATGCAACATGTTTCCCAACAACAACCGTATATCTGGGCTTCAACTACTCTTTCACTTTTCCTGAGATCAAATCAGTAAAGAGCTTCACCCAAGCTCGTTTTGATTCTAAGCTCGAGCTGTTTGCAAACCTGTGGGTGCCACACCAGGGTGTGTCTTGTTTTAAGGGACCCTCAAAATGGTGGGTTATGCTTTTGGTTCCCTTGAAATCCAACCACTTAAAAGGATACCTGGAGTCTCCATGACACGTTTAAAATGGGTCCATGAGATGCCATGAGACCTCTTTATTTTGGGTAATGACCAACCTTTTTTAAAGGGTCATGGAGACTCTATATAGGTACCCGTCGCAAACTGATATATACCCACCTCTCACAACTGACATATACCCTAGGCTGGAATTAGGACCCCAGCAAAAAATTATCTGTCTTGCCTGGCGAGTGGAAAATAAAGGGACCCCAAAAAGGCAAAAAAAGCAAAAACGGGGAACTAACTCTGGGGAAGTACCCACTAGCATGCCCTTGCAGAACTCCCAGCTCCTTAGCTCCTTCTTCGAAAGCAAGTTTGGATCCCAGCTTTTCCAAACGCCAGCCCACCAGGCCGGCCACATCCGGCCAAATCCGAACATGCGAACAATCCGGCCAAATACAACTCCGCAAAAGCTGCAAAAGCCAAACACAAATCCGAGAAGCACAAAAGAAAAAGAAAAAAAACAACGAGGAAAAAAGGAAAGCCGGCCAAATCCGAACAAATGAAAAATCCCAAACCTCGGGAGTTTTTCGGACTTCGGACGAAGCCCGGGTCCGACATGAGCTTGGAGTTCTCGTGCTGCAGCACCACGATGTCCAGTGCACGGGCCTGGCCCTTGAGCTGCATCAGGCCTTTGCCTCGGATCGAAATTCAGATCGAGGTGAGTCTGTTCTCGGTTGCTTTAAGGGCTCCCCTGCTAAAAGTGACTAACTTTTAGTGGTTTAAGACGGAAAACCCATTAGTTGGCAAAAGGTTCAAGTCAACTAACATCCCTTGGCAAAATGCCCGAAAGTGTTGGGGTCGAAATAAAACCGCCTTATGATGTCCAAAAGCTTATTTCTGGGTCAAAAGCTTTTTTCTGGCGGGTCAAAAAGAAAACCACCAGCTTATTTCTGGGTTGCTGGCGAGACCCTCCTGCAAAGAGTTTGTCACTTTTGGTGGGTTCAATACGGAAAACCATATTGCTTTTCCAGCTTACGATCCCAAGGGTCCCTTGGTACCCCAAATTTACAGCTTTGAGTTTGGTACCAAGGGCTCAGAGGCTCAAGTCCGCGAATAATTGAATATGAGATACTTGGAGTACCAGCTTACAAAGGCAGAGGGTAAGAGACATGGAGTACCAGCTTACTTGGAGTACTAGCATACTATGAGTACCTTGGTTGATGACAAAACCCCCTGCAAAGAGCTTTTATTACTGTTGGCGGGTTCTTTCTGCCCAAAACCAACTTAGATTTCAACCAACAAGTCAAAGTCTCAAGATCAAACCCAATAGCAATCAAGATATGATTGTCACTGTGCAAGTTTGGGATTTGAACTGGGGTTTAAATTGACATTGGAATCAAGGATGTGTTTTTTTCAGACCCTTCATTGAAGACTAAATGAAGCAGTAGGCGACCCTTCTAGGGGTTCAGTCCCCATTCTTTTCCACCATCCCCCTTTTCAAAACCAGTTGTTTCCCTGGTAGGATCGGGTGCCTTTCCGTTTTTCGGGGGATCTCCCACAAAGGCCCAACGCCTTTTCTTCTGGTTCTCATTTGAAACCAAATGGCTGGAAATAAGGTCCAAAATCCGGGAGTAAATTATAAAACTTCCCTTGATAACGCATATGCCAGTTTCGGATATCCACCTGTTTGGTCCTCCACGCCTCTAACGCCAAGACCCGAAACGTGTGCTTAATATTGGCCTCAAGCAAATACGGCAGATTCCCTCAACTTGCCTGGGTCATGTCCAAGTTGGTGGTCACTGCTTGGGTGTTTGATTCGCCAAGCTAGCAAGTTGTTGCTAACCGTTCGTTGGCAACCCACGCATAATTCCCCTTAAGTCAATTAACAGTGGGTTATAACCCAGGCAAAACCCAGGATTGACTTAGACCCTCGGTTCTTATCACCAAGGGGGCACGGATGAGCCCGAAAAGAAGATACCAACTCTCTTTCACGACAAAGGTCCCCGAGTTCTGTTTACCCAGTCTTCCCTGGGGGCAGCTGGCCCTAACGACGTTCCAGGGCTCAACTCCTTCCCCAAATTCCTTTCAATCCGGGGTGCTTAAGGAGGCAATCGGCTATTCAACATAAGTGGCTAGAGCAAACACAACTAATCCATGTCTTCGTGTTCAGGGTTTCTCTTGCAGGCTTACCTCAGACGGAATCCAAGATAATGAGGACGCTTTGGTTTGTCAGGTCGGATGTAATTAAAATGTCCCCCAGTTCTTGAGCCATGGCCAGCAGTAGTTGTGCCAACTGACATTGAATTGGGATGTTGCTTTTGCAGCCTGCCACTGGATTCAGCGAACATGCCACGAACAGTGGAGACATGTTGAGTTGACCGCTTCCCAGCGTACACCAAACATAGTTTGTTCCCAGTTTTGGCTTGCCCTACGACTTACGCAGCGTAAAACCCCTGAAAAGGCCACCTTAGACCTTCAGGCTTGAAACCCGGGCCATGTTTCTTTAAAAACAAAATCCGGGTGGCAGAACTCGGTGATGGTGATCAGCCCGTCGCCTTCCGTCAAGATGTCGAACAAGGGCCGGCAGTCCCGGATGCTCACGTCCAGGAACCGCAGGTATCTCGCCGCCCAAATTCCCGCGGGAAGAAAAAACAGCTTCAATCCAATCGGTGGTTTGGAACCCTCTACAAGAACCAGTCCACCAATCCTTACCACCAAGAAAAACTTGACACCAAACAAACGAGGACCTCTCAGCTTCCCCCTAGTTGGTGGTTTGGACTGGTTGTTTGGCGGCGGGGGGGGCGGGGTTTTCCCGTTTGCCCTCTACAAGAACCAGAGGTCCACCAATCCATACCAAGAAAAACTTGACAAACTCTCTACATCCCCCCAAAAAAAAGATCACACACACAAGCAAACACCAAAGCATTCACTTACCAGAGCCTGCCAGCCACCCCAAGGATTGCTTTCTCCCATGTCGAAAAAACCACAGGTCCTGACCAAAAAACAGTCGTTGAGGTGGGGGTGCTGATACCCAAAACTGTTGCGAAAAACAACTGCCTAGAGTCTCCATCACCCCTAGAAAAAGGGTCATGACCCCTTAATTTTTGGGTAATGACCAACCATTCAGGTGGGCACTGCAAATAACTGGACAAACAAATCCGCCCAAGAAGTGCGCGCAAAAAAACAGGAATTTGCACGCTCAACCATGGGCTTCGGCTTCCTTGGTTGACCAACCTGCAAAGGGTACCTGCAACAAGCGCCCACCTATATTGCAACAATGAAAGTTGTTGAAACAAACCTGAAACTGCAAATACCGCGCCAACATGTTGTTTGAACCAACCCGGCAAAAGCACGCAACTCCAAACCTCAAACAAAACAAACAAACAAACAAACAAACAAACAAACAAACAAACAAACAAACATACAAACATACAAACAAACATACAAACAACACGCGCCTTTCCATAATTGATTTTCCTTCTCTCCACGCAACTCCAACTCTAAAGTCACGAGTGGATTTGCCAAAACAGGTCCAGAACTTGTATTCTTGGTTGACGTTGAAAGGGGAGCAACAAACTATCTTTTAGCAGTTCAGTGGGGGATTTCAACCGCCAAACCACAATAAGCAAAAATGCCACTATGTTTCCCAACGACAACCATATTACACGGGGCGAGTTCCCTGATTAACTCCAAGGGCCCGGTGATAGGGATGGGTGGGGTTGGGGAGCCGATTTCCCTGATGAACTGACCCCCCTGAAGGCCTTCTTAAGGGCTTGGGCGTGCAAAGTGTCACTGCTTTGAAGACCACCAACGTCACAGGTCGCCTTTTGGAAAAGTAGATGGCCCTGGCACTGGTAGATGAAGCAACCAGGTCAACCAGGAAACATAGTATGCATTTACCACTGTTAACGGTCCAAAACCAAAAACGTGGTTAAAGGCCTGGCACTCGGGAGTGGGCAACTGGGCAGCGAGAACGCCCAAGCCGCCCAGCTTCCTCCCTTCAACCTCCATTTGCCTCTTGGTCCCTGGGAAACATAAAGAACAATATGTCCAGTAGTGAAATCGGTTCCCTTTAAAGCCAACAGGGGAAAATAGAAACTACTCATTTCAGCAAATGGACATCTGTTGGAGCAAATTCCCTTTTAATTCAAGCAAAAAGGGCAACACATCTTTCTTCCCCATGAATTAGGTTGCCCTCTGACTGCCACCAAATCAGATCGCCCTTTCAAACGGAAGTCAAGCGAGCGTCTGCTCCACAGAGGGGAGGCTCATGGCTGCGAGGAACTCCTCCGCGGATAAGTGCCCATCACCATCGTCGTCCACCAGGCAGAACCTCTGAAAACCCGACACTCACTTGGCTAGTGACCAGCCCAAGAAAGTGTACACTTTTTGGGCCACCACTACAATAAAGAGAGAGCCACCAAGGAAAAAAGTGTAAAATGTGTCTGGCTGGATGAGAACAGGGGTCCATGTTGCTTCCACTGGTTTCTGTTCGTTTCCTTTTGGTTTTGTTGGGGTTGCCTTGGTTTTGCTCTTCTTGGGTTGGTGCCCATTAATTGGTTTGCACTAGTTTCCTTTCCCAGGTGGTCCAAGTACCTCATATTTGCGGATTCGCGGAATGTGTCATTGACGAATCCCCGAAGGAACCAAACCCAGAACCGTAAATATGGCATAGGACTCTCTGGGTTTGGTGTCCGTTGGCTTGTATTAAGATTTGCCATTGGTTTCCATGTCACTTCGACCCCCAAGGTCCCATAGCGGGTGAACACTCAGCCTCTTGGTCCAAAATGCCCTGTGCGAGCCCCCCCCCCAACCGCCCCAACAGGCTTCAATCTAGATTTCTCCGAAAACGACCAGGGAAACTTACAGGTTGCTTTCATTTGCTTAAGCCCCCTTGGAAAAAGGACATATTTCCAGTAGTGATAGGTGCCCTGAAAAACGAACAAGAGAAATAGCAAATATTCTCAAGCAAATGGAACATTGCCAGTTTTTGTCATTCTAACAACGACCCCTGGCCAGAGCGACCGCGCCCACTTCTAAAAAGCCGGGAGGCGCAAATGGCTGGATGCGCCATGCTATGAAGATTTTGGAGCACCCTTTTAGTCAGGATGCTTACGAATACCAAATGGAACGCCAAAGGGAAGAGCGTTACAATTCGCTTCAGACTAGAGAAATGGGACAAAAATATGAAATTGCTATTTACCAACAAAATGATCCAACACGGTCTTCCCAAAAAGTGGCTAAAGTCCAACACTCAAAGAGTCAAATAAAGGTTTGAAGGAGCTTCACACAACAATCCCAATCAAACAAACCTGTTCGGACCCTGTCCTGAAATGCCCCGACCCTTCCGAGCCCTGATGTTGTTCTCGGCAGCTCCCCACTTAAACATGAACATAACCAAACAACACGAAGAAAAGCCAACAAACACGCCAAGAGCAGTGCAGCAACTCCCTTGGAGGGCGGAGGGGTCTCACAGAAAGAGGCGCTAGAACTGTGATGTGTGTGTTTGCTTCCTTTCCATTTAAAGCCACCTGGATCGCCAGTTGCTGCTTTTTTCCATCCACTTTACCCCAACAACCGATCGCAACAGTGGCTGAAAGAAGCGATCGCAACTTGGCGATTTCTAGGCAGCCCCTCCAGAACCTCGAAGTTCTGAAGTTTCTCACACATCTCCATCACTGAGGATTCCTTTGGGCTTGCTCCAGGACCTCCATTCCTCTTCCTCACCCAACTTTTCTCTTACTCGTCCGGAAATCCACACAAAGCGCCAGGATGCAGTGCTTCCTTAGCATTCCCCCCCATGAGGAAGTCTACATCTTTGACGATGCAAACATGTGTCCCACGCACGGCGCTTAAGGGAACACCCCCCCCCAGCTTTCCACATGTGCTTCTTTCTTCACATTTCTTCAGCCCACCCTCACACAACCACATCGGGTTTTACGGGACATAAATACACAACCACTAGACACTTCACACAACAAGTCACTATAGACTATAGCGCGGTACTTTCCAACCCTTGGAAATTGTCACTACAACGCTACTTTCCAACCCTTGGCATTGTAGCAAAAACGCTTTATGTCTTGCAGTCCCCGCTAAACATGAACAGAACCAATGGCAGTAACAACCTAGCCATATGATCCAACCACACAGAAGGCTTCGGTATCTCACTGGCTGAGTGGAGGGCGCCAACAACAAGTCCACACTTTCTATTTACCGCTAAAACGGCAACCAAACCCTTAAACAGTTGAAAGCTCACGCACGCAAGGCGTCGGAATGTCTCGCCGCTCCGCGGGCTCCGGGCGCCGAGGAACAGCTCCTCGAGCTTCTCCTGGTACTCGACGGCCAGGCGCCGCGTCTCGTCCATGACCATCTCCGCGTCGTTGGCGGCGCTCGCCAAGGTCTCCTGAGAAGCGCCGCGCGCGCGGAAGGAAGCTGCGCCGAAAGCCGAAGCCGAATAGGTCCACTAGGGCCTCCAGATTTGAGAGGTTAGAATAAGTTGGTACCCGATTTGTTTTCTGTAGTCTATTTTAGTAGGGGAACCGAATCTCCCAACCAAAAAAGGGGGCACTACTGGGGGACCTAGCCCAGGTGAAAGCACGTTGTCGTCCATGTCAAGGCTAAGCGGGTCACAAAAAAACGTGGAGTCCTATACTACATCGGCTTTTGGGGAAAATAGAAGCACCTGGTAGATGTTGTAAGGTTTATCAGGGAATTTGTTTCAACCAAACCCAGCAAGAAGAACACCTATATCTTAAAAGGAGCACTCAGTGCCCGTTGATCACTCAAATACATCGGCCCCTGCAAGTCAGACAGTTTGCCGGCAATTCGGTCACCCAGTTGTTCAGTGACCCTGGTACAAGAAGACTTGGAACCCTTTTTGGGGCCTGGCAAGTTTTTGGGAAGCCATCAAACACAAAGAAAAATGGGTGCCACTGAACGTCCGAATAATCAGCTTCTACCAAATGGACTTACAGTAAGTGAATCTATCAATTCAAGTTGAAACGCCCACATCTTCGCCCAACTCCAGGATACACTTTGGATATGCTTCATATGTAATTTACCCACGACCAAAGAAAGAGACTCAGATCTGTTGGCATCCCCTTCGTTTCGGGTCCAAAACGGGGCCATCTGTTTGGCAACTCCTGACTGGAAAGGCCTACATGATGACAATGAAGTCAGCAGGGCGTTGGCCGATCCAGCAAAGGAAGAAGACAACATCGTTACGAAAAGGGAAGGACTGCGATCCTTGGTGTTGGCAGGGGTGGTTGGTCATCCGCCGTTCTGCACTCCTGTTGGTTGGTTGGCGTTTGCGCGTGCGTTGCCCATTGCCTCGAAGCCTTGGCAGCCCCCAGTCGTTTTCCAATGAAGGCCGTGTTGCTGATAAGACAGTTTCTTGGCCAAGCAAATTTTGATGAGAAAAAGGAGTGTTCACACGCGCTTGCTCTGCAGAACTAGCTCGCGCTGAGCCATGCGCTGTTCTGGGCACGCGGTGTCCGAATTGTTCGCGACATGACACACGTCCTTTGCGAGAGCAGCTCGCAAGCATGCACACACCCACACACACTCCGACACGCGAATGGGCAAAAAAAAAGAAACATAAGACATTTCTGGATTCATGGTCCAACTCCAACACAACGACCAGGAAACGACAGCACGTTTGCGCAGAGTATGGGTGCTAGCAATGACACACACACATACATGTATAGATGCACATTTAGCATTCGAATGAATGTTACCAGGTGGAAACTGGCAGCATGATCAAAGTGACTGAGGCTTGAAGCAAGGACAACGCAAGAAGAGTTTGGAAAAGGTCCTATAGGGTTGTAGTGGATGGGGTTGTAGGCGAGTTGCAAAAACACAAAGCCCTGCCCTCCAATCAGCCCTGCCCTCCAATCAGCCCTGCCCACTTCTGTGTGTGTGCCCCTGGGCTGCGCTAACACCAGAGCTTCAAAAGCGCAGGCATTTTGCCGCACACACCGTGGGCCCATTTGTTTAAGAGGCCGCAGCATGGATGACGGGTTTCATGTAAGAGCAGGCAGTTGCGCTTACCGACGGCGTCCGTTGCTTAAGCACAGCCAAGCCGTCGGGAGCACATACTCAGCCCCTGATCGCGCTGTCTATTCTGCGGTTGCGCTTACCGACGCCGCCGGTAAGCGCAACTGAGCGTTTGAGCCAGTCGCATGGATGGGTGTGGGCTTTGGTGAGAAGCCCTTGCTGGACATCATTCACAAGGGGCTAAGGGGGCTGATATGCGCAAGCCCCTGCTGGGTTGTTACCACATTTAAACAAATCATGGCCAAATGTATACTGTGGCTCTTGCTTCGCGCACTCTTGCTTGAGTCTGTGAGCTGGGGGGGCCTGATTGGAAGCCCTTGTGTGGAGAAAAACCGATGCAACTGCAACCCCATCTGGTACAACCCTATAGGCACTCTTCCGAAGAGTGCAAGCGAGTGGGTTTACGGTTGCCGGGATGTGACCCTACGTGGATGGGCTTGTGGGGCGCATTTGAGCAAGTCATAGTGTAGCTTGTAGCTTACATTTAAGCACGGTGTGATGCCCGTAGACACCAATCAGCAAGAGCTGCGCATGCAGCAGTTCTGATAGCTCCAGCTGCTGCCAAGAGCAGTGAACAAACAACTCAAGCCCACATGAAGCAAGAACAAGTCATGCGAAGTGAAAATAGACAAATCCTAAGACACTCTACAAATATATTTTTCCGTGCGCACGCGCTGCCAAACCATATGACAAGTTCTGGTTTGCGTTGGGTGAAGTTCTGGTTGCAGCGGGTTGAGTTTACAACCAAGGTGCAGCTTCCCATTCACACCTTTTGGGTGACTAAACCTGGGAACCCAACAAGGGGAAACCAAAAGGTCGCTTCATCCGGTCAATTTGCTTTGCAAGTGAGACAATCTGAGAACCATGGCCAAGACCCCAAAAACGAGATTACTGATGGACAAAACAAGCATGCCAGGCCGCTACGTAATCCAGGTCCTCCAGTAGATGTTAGAAAAAGTTGGTACCCTTTCTTTCTGTAGTCTAGTGGGGGGAACCCTCCCAACCAAAAAAGGCTGAGAAAGGGCACTACTGGGGGACCTAGGTGAACTTCCCCAACTGCTGCAACGCGGAGCTTGTCCATCAGGCATGGCTTGTAGAGCTGGGCAGCTCAGCCAACCCTCGATTTGGACACAAACCGGTTTTCCGGTGGCCTCGTGCCCCGTGTTCGTTTCAGCGCTGTGCCCACGATTTGGGCTTCAGCTTAACCAGACCCAGGCAACAAGGGGGCAGGCGCCGCGGCGGGGCCACAAAAAACATCTAGGGGTTGATTCCACTTCCATTCCGTTCATCCATCGTGCCTTTCAAAAACCGGATCCCTGGAAAGAATGGGCATTCCAACCCCGGTTCCACGTCGCCCGCTTTGTTTTTTGGATTTCCCGTCGAAAAGAAAAGAGAAGGATCCGTCCCTGGGGAAGCCTCCTACAAGAAATGCCTGTGGTTGTCAAACATGGGTAGCCAAAACTCACTTGCCCAAAGGACCTGCAAATAGAAGGTTAACCTTTTGGGACCTCTACTAAAAATAGACCAAAAAGGGAAAACCAAAAGGTCAAAAGGTCGGCTTTGAACAACTGAGAAAATGGAACCCCAGGGTCTAGGGTCTAGACCCTAGGGTCTAGGGGTCTAGGGTCTAGGGTGTAAAGGTCTAGGGTCTAGGGTCTAGTAAATGGAAGCACCGACTAAAACCTGTCCATATCCTGGTGGTTTCATTTGGACCCATACTCAAATCCGCTTCCGGTCCTTGATAAACAGCGCCGTCACCACTCTGATCACTGCGAAGACCTGAGCGGCGGAGCTCTGAGAATCGAATGGGAAGCGGTACCGCACGTGCGGCGTGGATGGGCCAAAAAAGAAGCCGGAGGCCACGAAAAACAGCCGGTGTTCTTAATTTGCTGCGTGGGTGGGTCAACAACAAGTCCATGTTTTGTTTGTTTACCGCTCAAATGGTCTTCGCAAAAAGTGCTCAGACCAGGAACTCAGGGAGTGAGGCTTCCTTTTTGGGGCTGTGAAGGGGAACCAGCTGAAAAAAGGACACTCATGTTGGGCGTGTCCCTATTTTGAGTCACACACACACATGTAAGTCTAGCATAGGGCTTCCAACACTTTGCATAGGAAGGCAAACTATGTTTGTCATGACTTGGTCGGTAAGTCCAAGGGTTTTCCTATTACACCCTGGGATTGCGCCCTCTGGGGAATCTCCCTATTCTTGCCTGTTCCAAAAAAAAACTGGATAGTTTGGTGAATTTGGGATCGTTGAAATGTCCTTAGGGTGTAATAGGAGATCCCTTAGACTAAGACCACGCCGCCGAACATGCAACCCACCTGGAGGAAACCGGTCGCGCGACCCCCAGTCACATTCCACGGGGAGAGTCAACAACTCGCCAAGGCAACCGCAGCTGTCAATGTCCATGCTGGCAACAGTCTAGGAAAGGAACAAGAAAGCACACACGGTGGGAGGCTAGTCATGTTGACTAACTGGGTCTCAGAATGCGAGCCTCAACACAACAACATGCCCTCCTTGTTTGGTTTCCTTGTTGGAAATTAAGCACCTGACTTTCCAACCCTGGTATGATGGCATGTTGGCAAACCAATGTGTGTTCGCAGCTCCTCACTTCCTTTGAACCACTGCACAACAAATAAGGACAAAACAGCTTCAACATAGCCTTTCCGCGTTGCTTTTCCCCCCCGAGAAAAAGGTCGAACAGTTTGTAGGTTTTATGGAAACGTGGTCTCTCCGGTGCGATTCCGTCAAAAAGACTCCCAACACCGCGGCTTCATCGAGGGGTCGCTGGATTTCCCCTTGAACAGCTGATCAACGTACCGACTGGTGGGTTCCATGGAAACGATCGCCACGTTTGGAGGTCCAGCAAAATGGCGATTGAGGGCATCTGGTCCGCGGAGGACCGCGTCATTGGAAGGACCCGCCCAAATGGGCGTCACTCACCTGAGCCACTTCCGGAAGTCCCAAAAATTAGGAAATTGAGGGGATCCGAGCCACCAAGGCTCCGTTATCGTGCCCAAAGACAAGCCAGGTTTTCAGGGCGGACCCCCAAACAAACCCCAACACCTGGGAGGCCACCAAAGTTGAATTGAAACTGCCACTGCTGGAACGTTGAGGGGAGTTTGTCCGGCCAGCAACATGTGTTCAGGGCGGATTCCCAAATAAATCACATCCCCGAAGCCAAAGGCATTTTGCCGCCGAGAGGCCACCAAAGCGATGTAGGGCAGAAAAAGGATGGCGTACCATGGGTCCACCTTCTCCAGCACAGGACGCACCAGCGCAGGCCATGACCCGCTGTGGGTGATCTCGAACCTGAAACCGAACTCGGACGGACGGCCTATGGCTTGATTTGAGCCCGGCTTTTGGTGGTTTTGCAAAGGGACATCTGGCATACTATGTGGAGACAGGCCAGTGGGTGGCTTGTCTTTCTTTGAGGCTACCTTGTAGGGGGAAACCACAAGGAAACCACCAACTGTTTAATTTTTTGGGTTCCCCTATGTTGAATCCGACCCAACGTCTCTACAAAGCCGCTGGCCAACCCCCACAACTGGAGCTCCTCCACTTTTCATTTCGACTTTCGACATGGGCGGATTTTGGATCCACCAAGCCGCACGAAGAAAAAAAACGCTTTGGTCCCGGAAGACAAGTTGTTTTCCGTGGTCTTTGGGATGGGGTAAGTAGCGCAGGGGGACTCGAGAACTGGCGGTTGGCCCTGAAAGGTAGTTCGCCTTCTTGCGGCCCCAGTTCTACGGGTTCATACCCCATGGCCGGCCAGGGGTCAAAACCCCAATCGTTAGCCCCCAGTGAACATCCGATTCAAGCCAACCACTAAAAAAGGAAGCCTAAAAATGGATGGCTCGCCTATCCCAGAATGGGATTCCATTGGTTTTGAACCATGGCCATATCTGGCTTTTTGGTTGCACGGGCCCCCCATATCTGGCTTCCCAATTCTTTCAACCAAAAAGCTGTGCAAAGATCCGTCACCAAACGCCCATAAAGAAGGGACGAACTGATTGCATACATGAAACTATTGTAGCCCAACTTGGCTTAGCATCCCGCGGTTGCTCGCCGCAAACTTGATGCAGACTCACATGAACTCAAAGTCGAAGCCGACCCCAAAAACAATCATACGCACATGGAATTTCATTGTGTCTGCTTGCAACTTTCAATAAGACCCTCACAATCTGAGTGCCAACTAGGCGGTCTGTAGCACCTAAGCATCCTGTTTAGGTTCCCTCAGGGGAAAATAATACAATTCTGGGCTATTTAGCACAAAGGCATCCTTGTGTCTGCATTTGCCAAACACCGTCTAAACCTGGTTTAGCTTGCCGTTTGTTGGGTGAACCCGCAGAATGGCTTCGGTTTTACTTTTGGTTTGGTAACCCAACAAGGGTACCCTCCAAAAAAGACACCAAACACAGTATCCCGGTCCCCCCCTTCTGCAGGGGGGAGGGGGGTAGGGCCCCCAATTCCATTTATATAGTCTTCTCAACAAAAGGGACAATGGAACCGGAAATGGATTTCCAGGGGTCGAAATCCCCCCTCCCCCAATTCCCTTTTTAAAGGGGATAACACAGTCTGCAACAAGTGCTTTGTCACTCCCTTGTCATGGCTAAGTCCGGCGCATGCTGTAGACAGAGCGTAGGAAGCTGCCATACAACTGATTCATCTCCAGGCGAGTGTCGACATCTGCGTCGTCATCCTGGGGTGGGAACGTGGCTAGCCTATCGGCTAAAGGTGTTTTCTCGATTTGGGTGTGTATTCTTTTGAGAGTACCCCCCTTGGTTGCTGGCATCAAAGGGAAACCAAAAGGCAAACCATAATTTAGTATTCATTTATTTTGGGGAGATTCAAAAAAATCACACACCCATGCCCCTGTAAAAAAGTGGCAGCTTAGTGCCGGAATCCACTAAGACTACCACTTTTGGAGGCTCAACAAAGGGGACATTGATGGACTCCTTCATTGCCCAATTTACTGCTAGGAAAGTTCAGCTTTTGGTTGGAAAGCCGAAGACTTATATCATTTGCACAAGTCAAAGGTTATAGACTTGCAGGTTCCAAACAAATAGCAGCCAAGGCATGGAACATGGTTGGATGCAAAGTCCAGCCAAAGTCAGAATCGTTTGCTTTTGTTGAACGGGGCGGGTTGGGCTTGGTTGTCTTGCCCGTGGCCCACGCTCATCCCACCCCCTGATGGTTGAAACCATTGCTGGTTGATATTTGCAGGGGAATCGCCGGGGCTTCTTAGTCTAGGTCCTCCAGTAGAGAGGTGAGAAGGATGGGTACCAACTTTTTCCTGTAGTCTATTTTAGTAGGGGAACCCTCCCCCAAAAAGGGTAAAAGGGCAATACTTGGGGACATAGTAGTTCGCACCACCGCGCAGAAACCCTATGATTTGATTCCCCTGCAAATGCCAACCCAACAATTTCAACCCTGGCTTCCAAGCGGAAATTTGGCAACCATCCACAGTGGGATTCGAGCAGATTTCTGAAAAAACATGCAGGTGAAGACGGTGAAGAGCAATACCCGTCCCATTTCGCAAGGAAGCCCCCCAGAGCAAGAAACCGTCCGTGTGACAAACATCCACCTCGACACCAACCTCCTGACCCAACCTCCCCTCCCCAACAACAAAAACACAGGAAGCCTAAGAACCAAGAAACCTGGTGGTCCTGTCTGCTGACCCTACCCCCCATACGGTGGACGCAAAGGGTCTATTTTGCAACCCCCTTAATTTGGGGTATTGGTGGGCTGCAAAATAGACCCTAGGTGTCCACGCCAAAAAAAGAAAGCCTAAGAAAGCAAGATCCCCATCGTCCTGTATCCCAACCCAACCCCCCCCCCCCAAAAAAAAAAAGGAAACATAAAAGCAAAAAAACACAAGGAAGACGAAGGGAAGCCTAAGAACGCAAGAACCCCTCCCCCCCTCCCGCCGCCTCCCCAAAAAAAGAAGACGGAACACGGGGTGGAAGGACCCCGGATCCTGGATGAAGGTCTGCAGGGCCTGGCAGATCATCAGCGCGAAGGCCACCTTCAGCACCAGCAACAGCACCATGGACCTGCGGAGCTTTTTTCCCCGTGGAGGTTCGGCAAAGGAAACCAGCCGGTGGTCAACAAAAAGTCGGAACTTTGCGTTTGCCACTTCCCTGAACTCAGGGAGTGAGACACCCACTGGTTTTCAGGGCTACCCTGGTTTGGCACTACCAAGCTGGAAGCCCAGAAATGGTGGCGGTTATGTGACACGGGGCCGAAGAGGTTCCCTTGATTTGGGCTTCAAGTACAAAGCCGTTCGTACTCCCTCGGGCCGGTGTACCAAGAAAAGTGTGTGCATACTTAAGCAACGGATCGGATTTTCTGTGGAACCTTGACTAAGCTCTGCGTCTCAAGTGACATCCTTACCCAAGCTAAATGGGCTATGTTATATCAGGAACCACCTCCACACATAAACCTCAACCTATATGATGTCCACCAAGAGGTCCCCCAGTAAAACTCATACCCTGGTGGTGTTTTCAGGACATCGGGACATGCTGTTCAGAACTCCTCCAAGTTTCGGGTCGTTCCACCCCCGACCTAAAAACACACGCAGGCTGCGGACCCGAGGGCTGTGCACTTGGCTTGCGGTTTGGAGACCCGGGGTGTGATTTCCACTTATGCAAGCCACTCCAACCACCAATGAAGGGTTCTTTGTTGAGAAACGGCAAAAAACAGGGGTCACTGGATTCCCCTACAATTTGCTGGTGGTTTCTAGTGAACGATCGCCCCTTGAGGTTCACCAAGGAAAATGGAGGGAACCCTGGAAAACTTCCATCTTCTTCCCCTCCCTGGAAAAAAGAAAGCATATGTCTAGTAGTGCAATCAGACCCCTTCAAAGACTTCAGTCAGCATGTTCTAGCGGCTTCTTTTTATAACCACGGCCACGCGCTAAAACAAGAAAACCTGAAGCCCCCTGGAAAGAAGAAAACACATCTCCAATACTGAAGACTCCCTTTAAATGCAACAGCGATTTAAGCAAAAACCGGAAACACAAGAAACACATTTTTTTATTTACTTATTTAAATAAAAACAAAAAACACGGATACAAACAAACACACACACACACACACCCACACCCACACCCACACCCACCCCCACCCCCACCCCCACCCCCACCCCCACCCCCACCCCCACCCCCACCCACGCACGCACGCACGCACGCACCCACACACACACACACACTATTCTCAAGCCAATGGAAGAAGACCGCGGGTTCAATCAGTTTTATTGTTAATTATTATGTGTCATTGATATTCCTATTTTCTTGAACAAAAAGGAAGCACTTACAAAACAAACACGCACTATTCTCCAGCATTTTTCTTGACGAGAAAAGACGCCCGAACAACCGCGGGTTCTTGAACCGTCGCGGGGCCAGAAGAGCGCCCCGATGGAGGCCACGCAGGTGCCCACCAGCAGCCGCAGCTGCCGGAAGAGCGACACCGTCTTGATGATCCTGGCGCCGAACCGCCGAACCGCCGGCGGCGCGAAGAGATCCAAGGTCCCAACTAGGTACCGGGTGGGTGCCCCTAAAAACCACAGAAGCTTAAATACACTGTGTGTTTCTGGATAGGGACGAATATCCAAGGTCCCAACTATTTCTGGGTGTTTTGTATCATATTTCACCAGCCTGAAACTTAAGGTGGTTCGGGGGCTATTCCCCACATAAACCACCATTTGGGGTGAATTCGGTCGTGTGAGGTCGTTATAATTCACCCAGAACTATGTACCCCTGGGTAGGTGCCCCTGCCAAAAAAAACACAGAAGCTTAAACGCACGATGTGTTTCTGGATAGGTCCAGACTTCTAGATTTGTCATGGGAAGACAAGGATCGGCATCTCTTTTTTGGGGGGTTGGTTGAGTTTCAAGGGGAACGCTGCCCCTAGGTCTATCCCTAAGGCTGCCCTGCTGACTTTTGGGCCCGGAACTCGGTTGCGAAATCTGCGAAGCCCTGCGAAAAGTTTGACTCACTTTTGGTGGTTTAATAGGGAAAACCCATGAGCTATGGCAAAAAGTTAAAGTCAACTAACATCCCTTGGCAAAATGCACACGGTGCATGGACGAAATCCGTTCACACCACCTAAGGAATCCTGTAAATACCAACGGACCCTGGTTCCCCATCATTTCAAAGTTGTCTAGGTCCTCCAGATTTGAGAGGTTAGAATAAGGGTGCCAACTTTTTTTTCTGTAGTCTATTTTATGGACTTTTGTCACCCTTTCGGAAGCCCATTTTAGTGGCAACTACAAAATTCAGACTCAGGAAGCCAGGGTCTAAATTTCTCAGCCTCCTCCCAATATAACAAAAAAGGGCTCAATTCTGTAAACATTCAAACCACTTAAGTGTAACCTGAAAACTAGGCTGATTGAATAGGTCCGTACGGGTCTGTCATTCTCTTGAGGCTAACCTGTTTGGAGTAGTTTTAACAGAAAACCAACAGGTTTTCAGAGCAGCGGGGAGGGGTCCACTACAAACAGCATCCTGTTTTACCTCCCTTTTTACTAGGCTGGAAAATTAGGACCCCGTCAAACAAATATATCTTTCTTGCCTGGCTAGTGGAAAACCAAGGGACCCCAAAAAAGACGGGGAAAAGAAGAAAAAGGGGAGCTACTTCTGGGGAAGTGTCCATCCCCCTTCACTAAGGGACCGTCTGGAACCCTTGGGCCCCAGATCGGAGAAAGCACCGAGCGCTCGCGCGAGCTTCCGGGCCTCAGGGTGCGCACGATGCGTATGAGCTTCAGCACCCGGATGGTGTTGGTCTGCAATTCCGCGGCACCTGGCATTGATCCTAGCTGGAGTCTCCACAGAAGAAACTTGGGGTACCTCTCAATTGTGGTAGGGGTCATGGAGACTCCAGGCAATGATCTAAGAGCCATCCAGCCGTGAGGCTCTTCCCGATTTTCCAGGGCAAGCTGCCACAAGCACCCTGACAAGTCTTGGGACCTCAAGGCGCAATGAGGTACTGGTACCACTCAATTCCCATCCAGTGGGCTGGCCTGAAAAAGGACTTTCTGTTTCTTGCCACTGAAATGGTCCTTGGACCCAAAAAGTGCTTGAAATGACCTCAGGGAGTGAGACAGTTGGGACCTCCAAAATGAGTTAGCTCCCGTCCACTAACATGGTGACTATGTTCCTTTTTGAAGGGGAGTCTCTGGTGGGTTCCATGTGAATAGACAGGAGGGTACCTCTTGTTGTCTTGTTAGAAGCACCCTAAACAAAAGCTGACCTTGAAAAACTAAGACACGCGCACACACATTATCTACCATGTTCTTGCGGCACTCTTGGTAGCTCCACAACTCTGTCTTAAAAGGAACATTTGCGAATTTGGATACCCCAGCTCTATGAGCCTGCGGTACCTCGTTCCAATATATAACAATAATTACAATAATAATAAGAATGATAGTAATAATAACTTGGTTGCTTTCTGCTCCCCTGCTAAAAGTTTAACTTTAGTGGTTTAATGGCAAACCCATTCGTTGGCAAAAAGTTAAAGTCCTAACATCCAAGCAACATGCACCAAAGATAATACTGATGATAACAACAAAAACAATAATATGATCCAGTTCTTTTGGCTCTCACAGTGCACATTCATTGTCCAACTTGAATCCGACCCAAGAGCAGCCACGCATATGTCCACATTCCCTTAAAAAAAAATCGGACGAGCCCCTTTATTGGGCCCGGCACACCCCATTCATACATTAGTGAACCCCCAGCGAACCAAACAAACCAGCCATCAACCGCAGAAGTCTATCCAGCCATATCGCCATGGGTCAACAGCCCGTACCCCCCGTGAACATCCCAATCCCAACTAAAATAGGTTCTAATATGGATGGTGCACCTACCAACCAAAATGGGATCCCATTGGTTTTGACCCGGAGCCACATACTCCGTGATCTGCGCAAGTTACGAGAAGTCATCTGCAAATGAGAGGCCGCCACGGCGGCAGAAGCCGAATCCATCCAAGAGGCCGCAAATGTCTTCTGACCGCTTCGCTTTTTTCCGGAAAAACTAGGTCCTCCAGTAGAGTGCTTGGAATATGGTACCAACTTTTTTCTGTAGTCTATTTTAGTAGGGGAACCCCCCAAAAAAGGGGTGAGAAAGGGCACTACTGGGGGGATCTAGAAAAGGAAAACAAAAAACACATCGCCTCCTGAGAGCAGCGCGGGCAAGATCAAGAGTTCCATGGTGCTGATAAACACCAGGCCGGCGTCAAAGACATTGAGCCACCTGAGCCCAAACTTTGAATGGCCGGACCAAAGCAATGTCTTTAGCTTCCGGGTCCAAACTCTTACCCCTTAAAACTCCAAGCCCTGGGGAAGTTCTCATCTTTTACAGACATATGGCCCATGTTACCCAAAAAGTTGAGAAAAGTTGTGTTTTTGAGAGGTAAGAAACTGCGAATCTCTGAGAATCAAAACCTGGCCGATCTGGAAGCAGATCGGAGCGGAAACAGGTGGTCGGGACTGTCCCCCAACCCTCACTCACCTGGCTTGGCCCGGGCCAGGGTTGTGGGACGTTGGTTTTCCTGCCTCAACAAACCGGAGAAAATGATCCAAGAACAGTGAAGATGAGGTAGGACACATAGATTCCCTTTTAACACCAACAAACAAAATAAACTACAAATGAGCTTCAGCAAATGGAAGTAACCGTTATCACTGTGCAGGGAATGCCCTTGGTCTAACCCGATGTTGCAGAACCATGAGCCAAAGGGGCAGCGCGCCTTTCACTCGGTGAGGCTTTCTGCTCCCCTGCGAAAAGTGACTCATTGAATTGAAAAACCCACTAAAAGTTAGGACACTTTCGTGGTTTAATCTTTACCGGTTGCTTGGATGTTAGGACTTGAGTTGGCAAAATCCGTGAAAGCCCTAACATCCCTCGGCGAAATGCGCCACAGTTTCTTCACGCGCCCGAGGGGCATGAAGCCCTCTACAGGGTCAAAGTACCACTCCCGGCGCAGGACGAAGACTCGCAGCACCACGTCCGCCAGGTAGAAGACATAAAAACCTGGGCTCCCTGTTCACGTCCGCTCCCTGTTCATGGCCCCGGCTTTGCTTTCGGGCCAAGGGGGTCTAGCCCTGGAGTTTGTCCGGGTTAAGCCAAGAACAAGCCCTTAATGAGGCCATAGAAACTGGGCTGCTTTCAGATCCCTCGCAAAAGGTTAAACTGTTCAGGGGGATTTGGCAACAGCAAACTTGCTAAGGGGGCTTTGCAAACTTCCAGAACTTTGTCAGGGGGATCTGGCAACAGCCCGGTGGAGGTATACTGTCCACTGCCAGACGTTTCGCCACTATAGGCCTCCATTTGCTAAAGTCCCCTGAAAAAATAAAACAACATATTTTCAGTAGTGATAGGTTCCCTTTAACACCAACGAGGGAAACTAATAATAATAATGAAACCAAATATTGACCAAGTGGAAGTAGTAGGTAATCATCCTATCCATGTTCAAAACCGGGCTTGCCAAGGCTGGCTGGCTGGTGCCCTTGTTTCCCTCCCATAGCTACTGGAATCACTTGGCTTTTTGTGAACTTCCGGAACTGCCAAACAACGATCGAGTGGATTGCCCCCAAAAAGTCACCAGGAACTGTTTGAATTGACACCCAAACTGGTCCAAACACAAAAAGTGACTAAAGTCTGAAACGGAACTCAGGCAGTGAATCCAAAGCACCAATCAATGTCAAACCCCGGACGAATCAGCCCCTAGGTTGATTAGGCTGGATGTGCCACAAGCTTGTGGCGAGAATCCTTCACGTTTGTGGGCGACTTCATGAATCCAGGGGTTCCATTAGAGGGACGCCCACACCAGTCACCACCAACGGGCGACCAAAAACTGTCCAGAACTTGCTGTAAGACCTTTCAGGGGCTCACTTCACGAGTGGATGGGCCCAAAAAAGATCCTGGAACTTTTGCATTTGCCACTGAAATGGTGCAAAAAAAAACTCGACTGGATCTTCCAGTGGAGAGGTTAGAATAAGGGTACCTTTTTTGCTGTAGTCTATTTTATTTAGTAGGGGAAGCCTCCCAACAAAAAAAGGGGCCGAAAAGCACTACTGGGGGACCTAGTTGACTCAAGTACGAAACGGAACTCAGGGGGCTCGTTTGCCTCTAGCAATCAACAATGATATTTTGGTTTGGGGCCCGATACATTTTTGTGGGGTGGGTTGAAAGGGAAACATGAGGAACGCAGGCCATGTGTTTTTGGGCTCCCTATATGGAGACAAACTCTCCAAACACCAGCTTAGGATTCGAATTCCTTTCAGGGGGCCCTTGCTTAAGGCGCCTAATCCAAATGTGCCATGGGCAAAACTCCGCTTCTGCCGATTGGGTCATGGTTCCTGAAGGAGGTGCGGCCAGCAAAGGAACCGGTCTTTTGACCATCCCGGAATGCCCAAAGGGCCCAAAGGCCGGTGCCCAAAAGCCCCGCCAAACGGAAACTGGTCAAAGTTGGGTTGCCAGCTTTTGGTCGAAAAGGGCTTGCCATGTGTTTCACTTGAGCCAAAATGTGTTTTTTTCACTTCCTGAGCCAAAACAAGCAACCAAACTGGTTCTTTGCCAAAGTTGCAAGCCAAAAAGTGACTCGAGTCCAGGTTAAGAAGGGGACCCTAGGAGCTCAAATCCATCAGCACCCAGTGAGGACAGTCCCCAACCGGAGCTGTCGAGCCTCGGCTTCACGGACTCCGAAACAAATCGATTTGGAATCAGGCGGCAGTACTCCGTGAGGTCGAAGAACCTCAGGACCCAAAAGGTGATGGCCTTTTAAGGGGCCACTCAAATTGCTCGCCACCGAAGACCCAAACTCCATGTTGTGAGCAATATGGTTGCATGGCTGGAACCTAGAACAAGGGAAACTCGCTTTCGCCCGTTGGCCAAACAGAGTTTCCGAGGTTGTCTAAAGTGGGAACCAAGCCCAAAAGGTACCTAGAGTCAAAAAGGGGTAACCCTTTAATTTAGGGTAACGGCCAACCATTTTTGAAGGGTCAGAAGGCGACTCTAGGTACTTGGAGTTTCGATTCGTCAAGTTAGCAAGTGGTTGCCCACTGGGTTAAATCATCCACTAAAACCATGGCTAGCTCCGCTGAACGGGCCTGAGTGGATCGGCCACAAGGAGTCCAAACTTTTTGCTTACCACCAAAATGGTCCAAACCCCGAAAAGTGCCTAGTTCTAGGGGTACCTTCCCCATTGTTTCCAGGAATCCTTTTTCCTAGAAATCCTCGGAAACCCAGGGAAAACGGATCCGGTTTGTGGAAAGAACAATGGTTGAAAAGAAATGGAATCAACCCCTAGAAAAGATGAGAGAGTCCCCTTTTAGTTTTCTTGGGGAGTGCACTGTTTACTTCCAAAATTCCAGTTGATTCCACTGAGAACCAGCCCCTGAAGTCCCCACCCCCCAAAAAAAAACCTAAACTTCTTACTTGCCACCAACATGGTCCAAATCCCCAAAAAGTGACTCAAGTCCAAACCGGAAGTAGAAACCTCCGAAACGGACCTCAGGGCGTGAGTTTTTTGACGGGCCTTCCGCGAATCCGCGGCCAAGGGGCTGCTGAGTGAACCAAGGCCAGCCCTCTGGTGCGAGGCCCAGCTTCACCTCCGAGTTCCGGCCGGACCATTGGGTCATCACAATCATCACCTCAGGCCCAAGTTAGACCGTGGACTCGCTGGCTTTCTGCTCTGCTAAAAGTGTTTAACTTCAAGTGGTACTCATGGAAAACCCGAGTTGTTTGTTTTGTTGTTTGCCTGGCTCGTGAAAAACATGGAAAACCCCAAACTCAGTCGCCCAAAGGACCCAGAAATAAAAGGCTAACCTTTTGGGGCCTTTGCTAAAAATATACCAAAATTGGAAAGCCAAAAGGTTAAAAGGTCGGCTTTGGGCAACTCGGCCAAACAGCGACAAGCATAAAAAGGGGGAGCTTCGGGGCAAAGGAAGGCCCTGGCAAGGACTACCCTCAGCTTCCCTCTGAGCCTCGTGGCTTGCTTGGTTTGGTGGTGGGGTTTCCCATCTGCCCAAGCTTCCCTCCAGGGGCCGCTGACCAGCTCCAATCCAAACGGGTTACCTGAATGACCCTCGAACTAGCCATAAAAAAGCAAAAAAACTACCCAGAAAAAAGCAAAAAGAGTTCAGCCTAGATGGCAATAGGACAATAACAGAAATGGGTACTTCACGGGTGGCCCCTGAAAGGAAGGCCCAAGGAAGCCTTAAATGGGTTGGGGCAATTACTACCCAAGGAGAACTACCCGCAAAAAAGGGGAAAAACCACCTGGGAAATGAGACATGTGTATGGGTAAAACCCGCAAGCACGCAAATGCCAACAAATCCTGAAGACTTGTTTATGGACGTAGTATGAGGGTGGGCCCTTCATGTCCCCTTGTGACTGTAACTTTGAGATCACCTTGTCCAAATGTAAGCGAGATGTCCCCATCGTTCCAAAGACAACCGTCGCCTGAAACTACATGGCAAAATTCCGACCTGCTTTGGTTTAGCTCTCTTTTAAGGAAGACATCCGCCATCTACTTTCACCCCCAAGGACCAAGAAAGATTAAGCGACTCATCCTCACCACTGAAGTACCAATATGTTCAGAATATTCTGGAAGACCGTGAGTCATTCAGCCAGGGTGCGAAGATGTTGAGCATGACCACAATGCCCATGTAGGCATCCAGGCGTGTACCTGGGTGTCACACAGAAGGCCCACAAACAAGCAACAACAAAAAGATCCGCTTTGATGCGTTGCTCACTTCCTGAGTTGGGTTCGGGAGTTTCTGTTGGGGATACTGTGGATGGACGAAATCCTGGACCACTTTGAAGCCATGGTTGAAACCATAACGTCGGTTGGAATTTACAGCGGAATCATCATTCCAGGGTTTCTTAGGTGGTGCGGGATTTCGTTCATCCACAGTACCACCTGGGGCTTTTTGTTTGCGTGGTGCGTGATCTTGCTGTGGGACCAACACGAAGCCTACTTTGAGCGAAAGCTGGGACCTTGTTGGGGTCCTTGCGCGAAAAACGAGGAACACGGCACCTTGTGATCCTTCAGGGACACCAAACTGAAGCCTTCCAACTTGCAGATTCCACGTCCTATTTTGACAACATTTCAACGACATGATCAAGATAGACCCTTTGATCAAAATAGACCCTGTACTTCAGTATTGATGATGGTATACCTGCGCCCCAACTCCATTGATGCAGTTTTCCCCATAAAAAAAGAAAGGGAAGCATAAAATGAAAACTTTCAGGGCTCGTTTTCTCCCCCTTCCCCCCCAGCTATCCGCCATTCGTAAGGGGCCCCATCTGTTCCGCCTTGACACCCGCCCGTCTCGTCCGGGTCACGCACAAAGGCTCGGAAGGGCGGCTCCGGGGCCCACTTCTCCTCGGTGGCGAGCTTTCTGCGAAGCCCTGCAGAAGAAGTGACTCACTTTTAGTGGCTTAGTACGGAAAACCCAGTCATACCCCTTAAAACTCCAAGGATTGGGGAAGTTCTCATCTTTTACAGACATATAGCCCATGTTACCCAAACAGTTGAAAAGTTGTGTTTTTAAGAGGTAAGCCATTAGTTGGATCAAACAGTTAAAGTCAACGAACAGCCCCTGGCAAAATGCACCAAAGTCTCGGTCATCACCGCCGCCAGCACCGTGTTGCGCTTCTTCTTGCGGTTCGCCGGTGTCAGCTCGGGGCCTGGAAGGAAAATCGCCGTGAGGTGCGGTGCCGGGGGTTCGTTTGGGTCGCCGGAGTTCTCACTTCCGATTGGAGTGGCCAAACCAGGCCCAGGGACTTTTTATGTCGATTGGAGTGGCCAAAAAACCCAGGAACTTGTTGCTTGCCACTTTAAGTGGTCACCAAATAAACGAAATGCAGCCCAGAAACTCCGGAAGTGAGCTGAGGGGATGAACCTACGAATTTCTGGCTCCAAAGCGGGGCCTTTGGGGCCACAAAACCGGAAAGAAAGTGTGTTTGCAGGGAATGGCCTAACCCTTCTTGGGGTCACCGAAAAACATTCTTGTTTTTTCAACCTGGGCTGTCCTCAGATCTCTCGCGAACACTTTAACTTTTAGCGGGTCAATTGGAAAACCCCCTCTTGAAAAGCTAAAAGCTAAAAGCTAAAAAACACTAAAAAAAATAAAAAAAAATAAGGAACCGGATGGCTGGGAGCCATGGCTGGGAGCCACCAAGCAACCAAAACGCCTTGGGGGGGCAACATTCGACCGCGGCTTCGGCGCCGGCCTTCATCATCTCGCTCCGTCACAAAGGCCTCCTCTATCACCTTCTGCGCCTAGGGTGCTCACGCGGAAAACCGCTCAAGCGATCCGATGTGAGATCAAACCAGCGCAGGTCATAACGGAAACCATTCTGCACATGTTGCAGATACCTCCAAAAGCTGATTTATAAGAATTGGCTTCCCAAGATCCCCCCTACCTTAGGGGGTAGGGGGTCCCCCGATTCCATTGACCTAGTGTTCCCCATGAAAGGGAAAATGGGTTACCCTAAATGGAGATCTCCAGGGGTCGAAATCCCCCCTCCCCCATTTCCATTTCTAAAGGGGCGGGGATTCCCCAAGTAAAGCTTTTTGGCGTTTGATCAGGGTGAGCTCGTTGCACCTCCGGGTGAGCTCGCTGCAAAACTAGGCTGGAAAAGTCGGACCCCAGCAACAAAAATGTCTTTTTTGCCTAGTTAGTGGAAAACAAAGGGACCCCGAAAAAAGCAAAATAGCAAGAAGGGGAGCTAATTCTGGGGAAGAACATTGGCAGAATCATTGTTTTGTGGTGGGAAATTATTCTCCATTCTTCTCCCAATAGCAAACCACCATGCAGCGGTTTCTATGAAATTCTTCCAAGCGCACCTCCATGTGGACACACATTGTCCCAACAAACATGAAAGTGCAAAGGCTCCCTTTAGATGAAAAAACGGGGTCTGCGCTGGGAGGGTAACCCCGCATGATTTGGGGGCCGCATCTGGTTGATTTTGATTTGGGGGGGTGTCTAAAAGGGTTCTACATCCGGCCACGTCGATGGCATAGGGTGGATTCTTTTTCCCCCAAAACAGCCTCTCTCTGGCGGTTCGGTGTTCCCCTGCCGGTGTCCTTTGGTCTCCCTTCAAACCGACACCAAAAGGGTACAAGTACCGAGCCTGAAACAAAAACGCAAAACCCGTCTCCTTAAACTGACCCAAAAGAGACTCAAGTCCTTTTCGCCTCAGGCAAGTAACCTTGACCGCGCGAACCCCGCAGGAGGCTGGGTTTCTCGTTTCGCGTCTCTGGCGCGTAACCGCGCCTCCTCTTTCGACTCTTTGGAGCCCTGTCTGGACACCTCGGTTGCTGTCGAGCCCCCTGCAAAAAAAAAAAGAAGTTCTTCACTTTTTGGGGGTCTAGTGGGAGAAAACACCTTGATTTCAACCCAAAAAGGTGAAAGTCGAAAGATCCGTCGCCCAGCAGTCAAGGCACGGTCTCCTTACTCTCCGCCTCATCCGAGGTGGAGGTCGAGCCCAGCGCGCGCGGGCGCCAGCGCTGGCTCAGGCCATGGCCTCCGGGCCCGCGGATCCGCGGATCGGATACGGATCGGAGGCCTTCGCCAGAACGCGCGGGCGAAAAAAAAATTCCGCGGCTCGCTCGGCACCCAGAAACGCAGGGGGGCCAAAACTGCTTCTTTTCAACTCACTTCCCAAGTTGACTGGCCACAAAAAGCTTGAACTTTTTATGTACCACTAAAAAATGGTCCAAGCCCAAAAAGTTTAAAGTCCACCAACTCAGGAAGTGAGTCAAGGGCGAATGAGGAATTGGTCGGGGTTCTCCATTGGAGGGTCCGAGGGTGTGGAGGGGTCATGACCCTTGCGCAGGGGGTCCCTTGGTACCTCATATTTGCGGATTTGAGGAATCTATAATTGACGAATCCCTGAAGGAACCAAACCCAAAACCGTAAATATGATCCCTAGGACCCTCTGGGCAAGAAACCCTGGTTCCTGAAGATTCCTCCCGCAAATGCCAACCAAATACCATCAGAAACACTGATTTCTGAGGATTTTCCCTGTAAATGCCAACCAAAGGTGTGGTTTCAGCCATGGCTCCACAGTGGCGCGATTTGGAAATCGCAGCCACCCACAGTGTTGCAAGCCGAACCAGGGATCTCCCTGGTTTAGCTCGTAGATCCTATGTTTTTCTGGTCAGGTGTGGTTTTTCTGCAAAAAAAGAGAGGCAAAGAAAGCTCTGGGGCAGAGAGGGGGACAAAATGAGACCATATATTCAGCTAGAGAGTTCCCTTCAAAAACCAACAGGGCAAAGACAACATTGGTCTTAAACGACTGGAAGCAAGGGAAATGGTCCTAATTTGTGTTGTAAGCGGCCATGTGAGTTGTGTCAAGCAATCAACGCGGTTGATTTCCGTCTGGGGATGTTGAACAATGTGGGCTGTTTTGACCAGCTCAAGTCCCAAGAGATGCATTTGTTGAAAAAACATGTTGCAAGCAAGCACCACCTCAACCATTCCCTCCCAAGCCCCAGTAGCCATGGGAAAAAAGGGGTATCCATTGAAATGTCTGACAGTTGATTTTACAGGGTTCTACTCCCTGTCTCCAGGTCCAAAACCTTGAACTCACCTTCCGAGATCGGCCAACCAAACGGTTGGAAAAGTTCATGGGCTGAAGTAGCTAGAATAGCATAAAGAACCCCATATAGGAGCCCATACGTGACAAGCCCAACCGCACCCCCAGAAAAGCAACATGTGTTTGAACCTTTCCTGGCAAATGGGGGCGCCTGTTGCATTTCACCTTGCTCAGGAGGTGAATGATCAAGTACAAACATTCCCAGATAGTCCTAAGTACCCCATATTTACGGTTTTGGGTTTGGTTTGAGGGATTCGCTCTCAAATCCGCAAAAATATGAGGTACTTGGACCCCTTGGGATTGTCCTCGCATGAGGAGTTCGGGCTGAAGTAGAAAGAGCTTGAATACTGTTGACACTGTATCTACAATGACCTTCCACACTCGCGGCTGCTGCTCAAAAAGTATATCCATGGGGAAACGGGACCTACAATCTTGCCACCCATCGGGACAAGCAAAGTGATCCACTTGTCCTGTCTTTCATCGGACACCCCCCCCCAAAAAAAAAAAAAACGATTTAAAAAGCTGCAATTGACGAATCTCCGAACGAACCAAACCCAAAGCCATAAAATGGGGTACCAAGGGACTCTGGCGGTTTCATCGTGGGCGCACTTGAATCCTAAACTTCCACTTGCTTAAGGTTTCTGGAGCTCGCAGGCTCACTTGCTGAGTGGATGGCCCAAAAAAAGTCCAAACTTGTTATTTACCACTAAAATGGTCTTTCCAAAAAGTTTAAAGTCCATCAACTCAGGAAGTGAGCAGGAGGCCTCTGTAAATCGAACCCATCGAAAGGGGTCCGGAGCTTCCATGTTTGCAACCGGATCTCAAGGAGAACCCCCGCCCCACCCCCGCGGCCCCCCCGCTCCCCCCGGCTCGCCGTTTTGGCTTGTCGAGCCTTTGGGGAAGGCAGGGCCCTCAGCGATGGGGCGGTCCAAGAGCTCACGGATCAGAGCTTCTTGCCTGCAGGCTTCATACCCTCCCACCTAACATGGCTGTGGGTCAACAGTTAGGTCTGAACCTTGCATTTACCACTAGAATGATCTTCCCCAAAAAGTATACCTACAGTCTCCATGGCCCTTTAAAAATGGGGTCATTACTCAAAATAAAGGGGTCATGGACCCATGTTTAACGGGTCATGGAGACTCCAGGTAGGACCGCACCTTGAGGGGAAGGATGGCGTGAGGGCCGCCTGCTTTGAAACTATCAGTTGACTGACCTGCCCAAACTGCTCCCCCGCTACAAGCTTAACTTTCAGTGGGCTAAATGGACACTACCACTAAACACTAAACTTGGCTGGAATTAGGACCCCAGCAAACAAAATATCTTTCTTGCCTGGTTGGTGGAAAAAACCACGGGAAGCCCAAAAAAGCAAAAAAAAAAAAAGAAAAAGAAAAAAGGGGGCAGCTAATTCTGGGGAAGCAAAAGGCAAACAACGCCGAGGAGCCGGATGGCCTTTTGGCTTCGCCAAAGCCACGGGAAGGGAACCCTTTTGCCCCTCGCGATTTGTTCCCCTCTCAGGTCCCAGCGAGGAAGTTAGAGGGATATACTCTCTACCTCACTGGCTGAGTGGATGGCCCCAAAAAAGTCCAAACTTTTTCTGTACCACTAAAATGGTCCTCCCAAAAAGATTAAAGTTCATGAACTCAGGAAGTGAGCTACATATTTATACGGAATCTAAATAAGTTAGTTGTCTGCTTTACTGTTGGCATTTGATATCCTACCTAAAGGGTGTGGAGTTGTGGCGCGAGGGTTTCTCAATCCCAGAAGGGCTCTGTGGCTCCCTATATTTCCCCGTAAAACATCACCCCCACCAAGGGACACTCACCTTTCATGGGGCAAAACGGTGATTTTTAAAACCGCCAAAGAGGGAAGTATAGGGGACCCCTGACAGATACCTCGATGTGGGTTCCTTCAGTTCTGCAATGACTTCCATTTGCTTAAGCGCCCTGGGGAAAAAAACATTTCCAGTAGTGATAGAGTCCCTCTGACACCAACAGTGGAAAAAACAATAAACAAACACTTAAACAAAAGGAAGATGAGCAACCCCAGTGAACATCCCAATCCCCACACAAATAGGTTGCATCGGTGAATTCACCTACCCCAACCCAAAAAACGGGATCCCAAAAAAACGGTTCTGACCACCACCGCCATGTGGGTTCCTTCCGCTTCCGCTTGCACGGAGCCCTTGCTTCGGTGCGCCAGGCCGCTGGGAGAACTTCTGCTCCAGAAGCTCCAGGAGATCGCACTCCTCGGTTCCCGGGGCCCACGGAATCGGTCGGGAGCCGGCGTTTGGTGACTTCTAGGCGGGATGAGGCCGGGAAACGGCGGGTGCTAGGGCTGGATTTTCCATGTCCATTCTTTTGAACCATCGTTCTTTCCAAAAACCGGAGCCGTTTTCCCTGGAAACCCCCGGAAACTTTCTAGAAAGAAGGATCCCTGGAAAGAATGGGGAAGGTACCCCTAGAGTGCTAGTCATACTGATGGTGGGCAACATTTCGCACCCATTGTTGGAACCGTTGTTGGTATTTACAGGGGATTGTATCATTCTAGGGTTTCTTAGGTGGTGCGAAATGGATTTCGTCCATCCGCAGTAGATGGCCTTTTGGACAAATCGATGGCCCTGTTAAATGGAGGCATAAAACCCCATGTAAACCAGTGCAATCGATGTTTAACCTAAAAAGAACACCTATGGTGACAGTCCTTGGTGTCTTACTGCGGGTAGTTGCGAAATCCCCATTTCTTGGGAGGCAGCATTCAGAAACACTAGTGTCTGATTCGATTCCCTTGAACATACTTCTGGCTTTGTGCAGATACTGATTGAGAGCCACCTCGCAACAGCCTTTGCTTTGTGACAATCAGTTGTTTGGGCTGTTCGGGGCCCGCTTGCAAGATTCAACAAAAGCTCTTGTTTCGCATGTTTAGTAGAAATCTCCTGAACAAACATGCGGTTCTTACAGCAGGGTCAAGCTGAAACCTGACTAAGCCTGCAGCAACGTCGTCTAGAAGGTCCCCGAGGAACCCGGCGATTGTTTCACATGGCTCCCATGTTTTGTCTATGGCTTTCAATCACTATTGGAACGATTTCCGCTTGCCCAAACCACATACCGCACAGCAAACAACTCGCTATGAATCCTTGGGATCTTTAACTTTATTCTGTGGAAGGACGACATGCATTTCGCACCACTTTGAAGATGATGGGAAACCATAACGTTGGCTGGTATTCACGTTCGGGAATCATCATTCAGAGCATTTACAGGGGATGCCTTAGCTGCGCAATGGGTTTTGCAACCATCCACAGCATGCCCCATGTCCTGCCCAAATGAACCCTCAACAGGCCCTCCCTGTTTAGGACAAGTGTGCGGAGCAAACAAATGCCACCTCTGACAAAAGAACCAAAAACTGACCAACAAAACGGGGCTATGACCAAAAACTGACACTGTAAACTAAACACTGGCCAACCTCGCCTCTATCCTTTTGACTTTGACTTGCCCCTCTTTTCACTCCAACTGCCTGAGTGGCGAAACAAAGTCCAGGAACTTTTTTGTTTACCACGAACATGGTCCCAAAAAAGTGACTAACGTCCGTCAAGTCGAGAGGTGAGAGCTTGGATCCCGGCTCTGCAATGCCTTCAGGGAACTTGATCCCACTTTTGCGACAGCTTGCAGCTTGGGCGCATGCCGGAACTGCGGGAACTGCGCAGCTGAAACTTTTTGCGGAAGCCCAAAAGAGTCGCCAAGTAGTCAGGCCCCCTTGAAGAACACAAATCGGACACGTGTTAGATTTGTTCGCTTGTTGGTTTGGGGATACTACATCAAATGAACTTAGCGGAACCTGCCCAATTCAGCTGAGGCTCCTTCTTCTCGCAGATGCAAGGGTCCGGCATGCTGACAACCCTTTTTGGGTTTTCTGCCGCTTGCCGCGCCACTCAAATTTGAGACAAATAACTGGTGGTTTGGCTTGGTGGTTTGGTAGTTTGGTGGTTTGGGGGTGGTTTCCTGTTTGCCCCCTACAAGAACCAGGGGTTCAAGTCCCCAAACCACCAATCCAATCCACCAAAAGGGGTTACTTGAAACAAAGTCAAGCCCGCTCAAATGGGCGCAAGTGGATTGGCACTTTCAAATTCGCACAGGGTCCTTTCTTATCTAACATGGGTCCCGCGACCGCAAGGAGTCTTAGCGAGTTCTCATTTAAAGCTTCAACACGGGGATGGCCCATGAGCAGGGACTAAACATGCTAGACATGCTGTGTCGGGAGTTGGGAAGCAGAAAGCCACGTCAGGATTCCGTCCACTTCTCTCCCTTTAAACCTCCCAAAGCGCAGGTCATAAAAACAAAAAACAAACAAAGAGCAATCACGTGGGCTGGGCGATTGGTGCTGAACAAAACATGGTGAGCTTGTGCCGCTGACTCAACTTGGTTGCTGTTGACTCCCCTGCAAAAAGTTGAATTTTTCGGGGTTTAGTGGGAAATACCCCTTTATTTCAACCAAAAAGTTTAAAGTCTAAAGATCCGTTGCCCAATAGCAGTCAAGCATTGACCTGTAGCTGGAGTCTCCTTCCGACCCGTAAAAAATGGTTGGTGATTGCCCAAAGTTAAGGGGTCATGGACCTAGTTGTTCACAGGGATCCTTACATTATACACACTGAACATTGCCAAAAGTAGATGGTGGTTTCCCTTCTTGTTTGGTGTTGAAAAAGCAACGTGTTTCAAATGGGAATGCAACATGGAGATCTTTTAAGGAGCCCAGGTTTTAAGGGTCAAGTCAAACACCGGGGAAAAACAAAAACAATCGGCCGAGTGGGATCGATCCTGCCTCGCCTCAGCCTTTCGCGGCTTGAGCCGATCTGTTCGGATGCAGAGTTCGGGAGCGAAACCTCCGCTCAGTTGCCCACAGGACCCAGAAATAAAAGGTGATCACCTTTTGGGGCCATGACTAAAAATGGACCAAACAGGGGAAACCAAAAGGTCAAAAGGTTGGGTTTGGGCAAGTGAAACCTGGAAGCTCTGCAAGCAAATGGGCCCAAAGGGTCCCAAAACCTCCGTGAAAGACCAGCAAACCTGGAAGCTCTGCAATGGGCCCAGAGGGTCTTTCTTGGTATCTCATATTTGCGGATTCGAGGAATCTAGTTGACGAGTCCCCGAACGAACCAAACCCAAAGCCGCAAATATATGTGCAATGTTGACTCGGATTAAAATGTTCCCTGTGTGGTTTGATTCCCACTAAACCCAGAAGCAATGTTGGCACCGGCACCCCCTAATTACTCATGAACTGGGGTTGATCAATTCATCGGCATGGAGGCCACCCGTCAAAAGAGGGTGCCCGGTGCTGATGCCCTGATTTACTGTTGCCAAGCGGGTCCGATTCACTCCACGAAGAACACTTCTGATCGGCCACTTGGCCAAGAAACACGTTCACATGATGACATGCTTGCCACTTCCCCAGTCTCTTCACCCATCGTTCTCCTTAGAAACCACACTTACTTCCAGGGTGCCCATTTGGGTGTGGCTCAAAATTAAAGAGGAGGGGTTACGCAGGTTTTGGTCCATGTGTCCACTTACCAGGGTTCCATATTGGTACCGGTTTTTGGAGCCACAGCCACTTTTTTCCAGGGTGCCCATCTTTTGAAGAGAAGGATCCCTGAGAATGGGGAGGCTACGGCGCGTTTGGTTCCCCGGCAGCTGGGCATGTTCGATTTCGACAGGGCCCACGCGGCCCGATGCAATCGATCGCACTCCACATTTAATTTCTCCCGCGCACCGCCCGCCGGCAACGGTGGCTTTGTTGGCATTGGCTCCCTTCAGGGTGTGGCATGTCGTCCTGGTTGTACAGGCCAAGGACTGCTCGTGTTGCACCATGAGACTACCAGCTAAAAAGACCGATTTTTAAAGATGCTAATTGCCATTTCGTGCTGTGTTGGGTCGTTTTGTTGCTCAAAGCAGGGAGTAAGACAAGTCCTGAAAACAAGGTAGGGTTCCTACCTTGCAACAACATGCTTGTAAGTTTATAAAACAAGGTCATGAACACTCGTCTGCAACAAGAGTCATTACCTGTCCCAGATCACAATCGAAACCAACATGTTCGAACGCTGCAGGGAATTCAATGCGAGCGCTTGCGACCGATCAAGCAAAAAGGCCAGATAAGCGCATGGAATCACAGGGCAACCACCTGGACCCAAGATGGCCGCCACCGTCAAACACCTACCCAAGGGAACATGGATCTTTCAAACCACTGGATTCACCTCACCAAAAGTATGTAACCTAAAAGTGGAAGCCTAAAGGGTTGCCCTCACCATGGTTCGCGAGGCATTGCATTTGTTGTTGTTTGCGGTTGGCACGCGGCGCGCTCGTTGCCGGCTGGAAGCTCATGACCCTAAAGTTGTTCCACAAATCTTCCCCTAGCATCACCAACCACCATGGTGACTCACTTCAAGGAACGCACCCTCCCTCCAATCATGAAAGCCGACAAGCTGTGAGAAGACTGTGGCGAAGCTCCTCGTCCAGTTCCATGATTCTTTCAAGCACAGAACGCCTCCTGAACTGCAAATCTCACTTGCCCCGCCCCAGACTCAAAAGGCGATCACATTTCAGGGCAGCTGAAAATGGGCCCAAACTTGGAAAAGCAACAGGTCCAGAAGGCAATGGGCGTCTTTTCTGGCTTCGGTCTTAGGGAGCTAGGGGAATTACCAGCAGGACCAGGCTGTCCTCAAATCACCTGCTCAACGTTTAACTGTTTGGTTCTAAGACGGAAACTGAAACCCAACTAAACCACCTAAAAAGCCGCCAAAAGCCCTTCTGGCGCCGGACGATTCCCTGAAAAAACCGCCAACACAAAGGTCTTCCTCTTGGTTTCCCACGTAAAAAAAACATGTCAAGCACCACCTTTAAAGGCCCGCATGGCCCGCCAAGAAAAAAAAAAGCCGAGCAAAAGCCACAGAGACCCCAAAACGGAGCCGAGCCCAGCGAGCCGAGCTCCGCTCGCCGAGCTCAGCTTTCGGGGCTCGAGGCCGGGCCGCCGGCGCGGGAGTTCAGGGCCACCGCCGTCTTGGGCGCCTCGTGCGCCTGGAGCTCCGATCCGCCGCGCGCGGAAGGCGCGCGGTTTTTCGCCGGGGGGGGGGGGGGGGGGACCTCCGTCCCATGGGGCGGCTCCGAAGAGTCTAACCCGAGATCTTCGGGGTACAGGCAGCTCCAAAAAAAAGGGGCGAACCTATCGACTCAGAGCCAATTGGAAGCGGGCCTCGAAAGAGCGCGGCTGCCACTTGCGATCGCTGCGGTAGGTGGGGAATGGCTTTTTTTGAGTCCCGGTGCGGGGAATGAAGCTTTGTGGGATTCCAACTTTAATGAGACCAAATCCGGGATGGGCTATTTCGGGGTCATTCCATTTTCTCACTCCCTGCCAATCGCGCCAGCACGTCAAGCTTAAGCCAAACGGTATGGCCTTGCAAAACACCTTGACAATTTTGTTGCAGCCCCCAAAAATGATCAGAACCGGAACAATCAACAACAACAAACACACTGATTAAAAAAAAAAAAACAGAGCCAAGAACAGTTAAGTACAGGCACCTCCCAAAAAAAAAGGGGCTCCGAGTGCTTTGGTTGCCCCAACCAAAAACCAGGGGCACTGGACGCCATCTTGTAACCGAAAAGAGAGGAACAAACAAAACACACACACACACACGAAGGCGCCCAACTCGTCCAAGTGGCCCAAAAGTCCTGCGCCAAAGCCTTTCCTCAGATCAGTGCCGGCGGAATCGAGCTCGTTCACTTGCCCAGCGGAGCCTAGGTCCTCCAGCAGAGAGGTTAGAATAAGTTGGTACCCGATTTGTTTTCTTTTTAGTCTATATTTTAGTAGGGGAACCCTCCCAACCAAGAAATGTGGTAAAAGGGCACTACTGGAGAACCTAGGATCCATTTACCTGGTATTGTTGGTCAAGCAAGGAAACCACCCTTCAAACACCACGAGGAAAATGTGTAGGTCAAGCAAGGGCTTGCCACCCTTTAAAAGCCAAAAGGAAAATGGCGAAGGGTTGTTTACCGTAATGGTATGCCCCAGAGAGTACGATCAGAACTCCATATTTGCGGCATTGGGTGTGGTTCCTTCGGGGCTTCTTCCATTAGAGGAATTCCTCAATTCTCTGGGCACCCTGGCCAACGCACAAGTACATCCCAACCGGTTTTTTGACCGCTGCCAGGAGCCCTCTCTTCCAATGAACCAACCAACACCACAACAAAGCTGAGCAACTCTTCAAATGAACCAACCAACACCACTGAAAAACCTTGCAACAAAAAAAAACATGCCAGGTTGACAAACCCATCCCCCCCCCCCCCCACGTCACGAGCCGCGAGCCGCGAGCCGCAAGTCCCGGCCAGCGTCGCTTGGCACGGCTGAGCCGAGGAGCGCCAGGATGCCATGCGGGAGGGGAACGCCAGCGATGAGCCCAGCTTGGCCTCAAGCGAGGCAACCGCGCTGTCGCTGGGGTGAGGCACCGGTTGGCCGGAAAAAACACCTACCTGGAGTCTCTACCACCCCGTTTATGACCCCAAAAACACATTTTTGAGGGCCCATAGAGACTCGAGGTGGTCAGAAAAAGAGGTCATGACCCCTTAATTTTGGGTAATGACCCCATGTTTTGAGGGTCATGAAGACTCTAGGTAGGGTCACGGCGAAACATGGCAACCAGCGAATTTGTATGGCAACCTAGGGATGGAAAGAACCCTCAGAAGGGTTCGTCAGGGTTCTTAGAAGGGGTGGGTCTGGAAAACTGAACATTGTCTCCCTGACCCCAAGCTTTTCATGGAAAGGCTCCCCCCCTCGCCCAGGACCCATTTACGAGGAACTCCTCTCTCATTTCAGTTGATGCCCTATGCCTTGCCCAACAAGTTGTCTTTTTGTTTAGGGCTTTGGGTTTGGTTCCTTCAGGGATTCGTCAAATCTGTAGATACCAACCAACGTTATGGTTCAACCATGGTTTCCAAGTGGTTTCAACCTTGTTTTTGGCGCGTGTTTGGCAGAGTTGCTGTAAAAGCTCCTCAGTTGCCCAATGAACCCAGAATTCAAGGTTAACCTGTCATGTATGCACCAAAAAGGGGAAACACAACACATCATTTCAGGTCGATTCGCTGGCAACTGATTTTTTGCAGCTTTCTACACATCCAACTAAAATATGTCCAGTAGTGAAATCGCTTCCCTTTGAACTCAAAAATGGGGGGCATAACACAAATAGTCATTTCAGCTAACCCTTAGTTGGTGGCTTGGTTTGGTAAAACGGGCTCTGGGACCGGAGCATAAACGTGGTCTCCGCCCAGCACCGCGATCTTGGCGTAGCCGGCGTTCCTGAGAAAATCGCCCGAAGCCCGCGGGCCTTGAAAGGGCAGGATCGAGCGGATCGAGCGGATCGAGCGGATGCCTCCTCTTTGTTTTTGGGCCGGGAGGGGGGGTGAAGCCCCCGAATACAAATGAACACAAAATAAAGCCAACAACAACAACCTACCGCCAACAGTGAAGGTTTGTGCCATATCTTTAAAGCTCGGAATATGGTTGACCCGGAATAACCATTACGGGGGATTCATAGCGAGGTCTCTTAGAATGAAGGACTCCCTGCCAAATGGCTCAATACCAGGGCTGAAAAACCCTATGAATCCTGAGGTCCCATGACATAGGTAGTTCCCGTTTAACCTGAACCCCTCCCGCATTTCAACCATGATGTTGCAGCCCAGGCCACTGGCCCACTGGCAAAAAAAAAAACGCTGCCCTTCTTGTGGTAGTTGTCCATGGATCACGGGATTTCGCCCCCTCCAGGTGAATGTCTATTCAGCTTGGCTTCAAGATGGTGTTGTCCAGCTCATAGTAATTCTTGGCCTGAACCTGGCGAATCTATGGGACTCATTCCAGTGGATCCAACCTGCGGGCAGATTGAAACCGAATCTCACTTGGGTGTGGGTCAAAACTTGGTACCCAGAATGGATCCCTGGTAAATGGAATCCAGGACTAGAACCTGCGGTCCCCAGGTGGCTTAATTTTGACTCCAAATGGTCTACCCAGAACCATGTTTTGGGAATTAAAAAGGCAGCTGCACTTCTTCTTGATTAGGATTATCCCTTATTTTTGGTTAGGAAATCTCACTTCCCTCAGGTAGCCCCAAAGGGCGGTGTGGAGCCCGGTGGTTTGCGCCATGGGAAACCGCCCCGGAAGACCATCAAACCAACTCCCAACCACCATGTTTTTTCGTGGGAGACTTTGTTTGCCCTTACCGAAGGAGTGTTAAACAAAATGCAAGAGCGAACAATATCACTTTTCTCTGCAGTGCGAAATTTGGTTTCCTTTTGGTTTCCCTTTAAACCAACCAAAAAGGGTACCCTTGAAACAAACACACCCATACACACACACACACACCCGCCCTTTGACCCGTTTTTGGCTCTACATGGATAAGGTGCACATTGGGCTCATCCACCACAGAGTCCAATAGGATTTGGAGGGCTATTGAAAGATTCAAGTCGAAGGTGGGGACCCTAGTGGATGGTTGCAAAATCCATTCGCACCACTTTGAAACAAACCATGGTTGAAACATGTTGAAACCATACCATTGGTTGGCATTTGCAGGGGGAACCATCAGAAACCATATTTTCAATCCGACAGGGGAGAATAACAAAAATGATTTGAGCAAGTGAAAGGTCTTGAATCGACATCTGCCAAGGCTTTATTTGAGGGTTGATCAAAAGCTCCTTGACGTGGCATGACGATCAGGGACACCGCAAAAAATGTTGATTCTTAGAGGATTCCCACTAAGTGGGAACGGTTACCCTTAGCATTTTGCGGGCAAATTAATATTGACCAACCCCCATTTTGCAGTAATCACCCTTAAAGGTTTGTTGAACCCTAACTTACCCTTGGAACCATTTGACGGGTCATACAACATAACCGCCTCGACAAACAAAGATGTATCGTGTGAAG